TTTAGGGTTTAGGGTTTAGGGTTTAGGGTTTAGGCTTTAGTACGAGGGTTTAGGGTTTAGGGTTTAGGGTTTAGGGTTTAGGGTTTAGGATGAGAGGCAGACGGAGGGTTGCGCACCCCACCGCCTTGAGGTATAAGGCCACCAAGGCGTCTCGTGCCTTCCGACACTCGCGATTCCCCAAATACTCAACCCCCCAAGCCCTGAAACGGCAGGAGTGCCGCCTCCTCTCAGCTCTTGTTTATGGTTTATGGTTACCTGCTTTCGTGCTGCGCGGATTTTTCCAAGAACGGCGAGCAACAACAACACAAGGAGCCAAAATTGGGGGTCCGCTTACCTCAGCCCGGGAGCAAGAAGGGGCTACATAAGCGGCAAACCCTACAAGCCCCCCCCCCCTGCCCCCTCAGAGTTGCAGGCTGCTTCGTGCTCTCCAAGAACAGTGCCCGCGATGGGCAGGTGTGGGGAGTGTCCCTGGTCATTGGGATGTTCGCCCTTATACTAGCAGTCCAGAATGGGGACTTGTACTAGGGGGTACTATAATTTTCGGGAACATCCCTAGTGCCCATGGTAGACAGGATTCGAGAGAGTGTTTGGGTGTTATAGGCATAGGGCCGCCGACTTGAGAGTGCGCTCTGTTGAGAAAGGGTTTGCAGGCAGAGCTCAGGGTCTAGGGTCTAGGGTTCAGGGTTCAGGGTTCAGGGTTTAGGGTTCAGGGTTCAGGGTTCAGGGTTCAGGGTTTAGGGTTTAGGGTTTAGGGTTTAGGGTTTAGGCAACGGTTTAAAAGAAGGGTTTGTGAAGACCTCTTTATGACTTTAGCCTCGATCTTAAAGCCCTTAAAGCCTTTGGGTTCAACAGCCCCCTCCACTCCTCATTGCCTGGGATTCCCTTCAGTGTACCTTTTCGGGTACGGGCATACAAGGATGTTCCAACTTAGGGTGTAGGGTTTAGGGTTTAGGGTTTACTGTACATGGCCGGTGGAAGGTGAAGGCGATCTCTCCCGAGGAGCTCAGTCGCTTAGACTCCAAGCTGCTTCTCGGCCGAGGTTTTTGGAGCCTATAGAGCTTAGGGTTCAGGGGTTCAGGGGTTTAGGGGTTTAGGGGTTTAGGGGTTTAGGGGTTTAGGGGTTTAGGGGTTTAGGGGTTTAGGGTGTAGGGTTTAGGTTGTGCTCTCACGTTTTCGGCTAAGCACGGGCTCAAGAAAGGCTTGGTTGTATATGTGCATATACTGAATGGCTTTGGGTCCAGGGTTTATGGTTTAGGCGTTGTACCAAGAGTCTGTGACATCTTGTGTCTCACTGCAAAATGAGCGGCCAGATTGCGCGGTTCCCAGAAGTCAACCAGGGTTGCACCTTCTTCTCGTTTGGGGTTACTAGGTTTAGGGCTGAAGGTGGAGACTTGACGATGGTTGTGTACTTGAAGGCTCATGGGTAGTTGCCGATACAGGGTAGTAGGTACCATTAGATGGATAACCCTAAACTCCAAAACCCCAGTTGGAACGATCATGAACCCTTCGAGGTGGGTTTAAGGTTTAGGGTTTAGGGTTTAGGGTTTAGGGTTTAGGGTTTAGGGTTTCGGCTGAGTGGTGTCGAGATAAAGTGTGCTCTGCAACAACTGGGTTGTTTGCAGGCACATTACTTGCAGCCATCGTCGAAGTGGGCAACCCTAAACTCTGAACCCTAAACCCTAAACCCTAAACCCTAAACCTGCTTAGCACATTGTTGAATCATGTCTGCGCACGTCTTGCGAAGCCAGCCTGGGCAATGACACCCCCGCCCCTTTAGGGCGCGGGCCCTCAAACTCTTCACCGAGCTTGTTAATCCTATATACGAGGACCCAGAGCCCTTGTTCCCTTGTGGGGGGTTTAGGTTCCCTTAGTCCTATATACGCAGACCCGGAGTAGGCCCCTGTTCCCTTTTTTGGGGGGTTTTGGGTCCCTTAAAAGCGCCTTTAAACCAAACAGGGCGCCCTCTTAGGTTCCTAGGTTACTCTTGGGTCTAGTATATATAGGTGTTCGGGCACCAGGGTCCGCAGAGCTCCAGCACATAGATCCAACAACTTCCAAGCCGATCCGCAGCTGAGCATTCGTCTGCAAGCATCCAGGAATGCAGTTCTTGCCTTCGGCCGTGCTTGCGGAATAATGCGTGGCCTAAGACACTCCGGCAGCAGTGAAGATAGATCCGTATGGGGTTGCGGGGTTAGGGCCTTTCAGGTCAAGGCTACCTAAAGGATACTTCGCACCCAAGAACTGCAGGGCAAGTTGGCTGATGGGTAGGACGAACGAGAGGCTTGGGGGCTTTAGGGTTTCGTCGGCGGGGATATGGCGGCGTGACGGGCTCCTGGCTTGAATTCTTTTGGCTCTGCCGAGCTGCACGGGCTGTTCGACAAAATGCTCGAGATCGGGCTTTCTTTAGGATCAAGTTGTTGTTCTGCCAGGTACCTTTAATCCTACGTAGCCCCGACTCAACTATACACCACTTGCGCCAGCCGCCCTTCTTTGGGCTGAGGCACAAAAAGGAGTAACCCTAATCCCACAACCCTGAACCCCAAACCCTAAATCCCGACCCTAAACCCTGAACCCTAAACCCTAAGCTCTTAAACCCAAGAGCTTCTAAAAGATGTCCCTAAGCCCTAAACATAGACCCTAAACCCTAAACCCTAAACCCTAAAGCCTAAACCCTAAACCTTACTTGGGCCTTCTTGTGGGTCGGCATGGTATAGGATCCCAGAGATCCTCAACCCGAAAGCTGTTGAGCCCCCACAGCCCAAAGCAAAACCTGTACCCTTGAAACCTCTCAACCCTGGCAGGTTTAGGGTTTAGGGGGGTTTAGGGTTTAGGGTTTAGGGCCCTAAAACCACAAAACACCAAAACCCAAAATCCTAAGATCCAGACATGTAATCCCTCGAGCTCCTAAGCCCTGAACCCCTACTCCATGACCCTCTGTTACTCCCTGAACCCCCAAACGCAGCCTAAAGCCTTGCCAGCCACCACTACAGCTCAAGGCCTCAAGCCCAAACCCTCCTGCACAGCATCATAGGCGCAGAAATTCTCCCCTCCGACATGCACAACCGTGCCCCGCTCCGTGCGAAGACGCCCTGGTCGCTTGATGGAAGCGTGGGAGCTTACTCGAAGGTTCGTGAAAGAGTACCGGAAGTAAGGTAATGTCCAACGCTGCCTTATTTAGAACCTCACTCACAGCTTCCCATGAGTCTTCACGTAGGGTTGTGAGCCTAGGAGGGTGGGCATCAAGGCTCCAGCTATGAAAGGGTCTTCGGGCCTTACAAACTTCATGATGGTGGTTTGTGGGGCGCGTATTCGGAGTTTTCTTGTGAAGTGCTCCGACACAAAGGGGTTTTACAATCAACATGAAGTACCTGTGGCCAAAACTCGAGCTGAGAATTGGAACTCGGGCCCCCCGGTAGAACGACTGCATAAGATCAGTTTGTCATTCTGGGTTGAAGGTTCTCTTAAACCCTAAACCCTGAGCGTTGGAGTTCAGAAGCACTTAACGGGTCTTTCTGAAGCACCACTTTAGCTGCAAGCCCCTTTGACGACCGGAAGCTTCCCAGGTATCACGTCATCACCCGTTTTGCCAAGAGCCGCTAAGAGCTGCACACAACGGGACTGCCGACACGAAAAAGAATGCATTCTTTTGGGTTTCTCCATAACCCTAAACCCAAAACCCTAAACCCTAAAACCCTAACTGTTTGTTTTACCTGCATTGCACTTTCGACATCGGCCCTGGGGTGCTACTGTACCAGGCTGCCATCCAATCCTGTTCGCGAAGCGAAGGATGCGGGATGGTTGAGTGCGTCGCGAAGACATGGAGATTGCAAAAGCACCGTGATATGGGGGTTTCCAAAATGGGGGTAACCCCTAACATACCCCAAAAGAGTATAATCCTTATTGTAGGAACCCCCCCCAAAAAGGGTACCCCTACTTTCGGCAATACCGGCTTCTGGGCTGCCCTTTCATGGATCGGCAGGTCTTCCGGCATGGAGATTCGCGCGCACTCACCATGAACGCCTTTGATTGAGTTTGCATCAGGCGGAAGTGCGGTCTTGTCTGCAGGCCGCTCAGGCAAGCCTCGCCCTTCTTTCGTTCAGCGAGTGGGATTTTGCCCAATCCCTCTGCACCCCATACCCGTATGACTTTGGTTCCGTGGAGCCTCTCTGCTAAGGCGGTAAAGATGGTGCTTCCCACACCTCGAAGCGAAAGGAGGTCTCACCCGACGAACATGTGCCCGCAAACCCGTCGAAGCCCCAAGCCCGAGAGTAGTCGTGCTATCAAACCCCTAAGTCAAAACAAATCACCCTAAGCCCTAAACCCTTACAACAAAATCCCTAAACCCTAATCATGCCAAACCCACATGCAGACTCTGAGCTCTTCTTTGTACCTGAGCCCTGAAACCATTGGGTCGTGCGGTTTGGCGGACACCGCGGCAGCCTCCGAAGACATCGTAGTGGGAAAGCTTCCGGACAAAACCTCCTCGTGGCAGGGTATCGAGTCAAGCGTCTTTTGGGCTGCTTGAGGGCTGAAGGCACAGTCCATTCTGTTCATACACCTGGTTACACTCTTCCTCGCTTTCGCGCGGTCTTGTGTATGCACCATGCCAGCGGTAGCAGCCGAAGAAGAAGAAGAAGAAGAAGAAGAAGAAGAAGAAGAAGAAGAAGAAGAAGAAGAAGAAGAAGAAGAAGAAGAAGAATAAGAAGAAGAAGAAGCAGCAGCAGCAGCCCAAATTTATAGAGACCGGGTACCAGAAAAGCTCAAACACTGCGCCGAGGGCTGTTCCTTGCACGCTCATGAGTTACATGATTATTATCCTTGAAATGCTTCTGGCGCCTAAACCCAAACCCGAAAAGCCACCCTAAAGCCCAAAAACACAAGCAGAGGCCGAGGACTATCGGCACCCTCTTCTAGCCAGAAAAAGCCCGCTGGAATCTTCTCCTTGTAGTAGGGGCATTCGGTTGTTGCGAGCTTGTTCCTGCCTAAGCTGGCACACCAAGGAGCAGTAACCAAGAGGAATGGTGGAACTCAATGCCCAGGCTGGTCCTGACATTTGGGAGTTTACGAGAATAATGGGACCCCTAAGAATATAAACGGAATTCCCTTATAACAAGGACCCCAATAAGGTATCCCGATTTCGGCAGCCTCCAAATCCAGGCCATGGCTTCCTTTTGGGTTATTTAGGGGCTACTTAGGTAGATAGGGACTATACAAGGTATGTATAGGGGTTATCTGGAGGAATAAGATGAAGGGTCCCTTCTAGGGGTCCCTCCTTATACCCCTCAAAAAAGCCTGGAAGTTAAAATTGCTTGCCATGTGGGGATTCATGTTCAAAAAAACCTCCCAGCAACTAGGGGGTGGCAGGCTGTAGAGACCAAATATCTGAACCTCTAAGCCCTAGTTATACAAGACCCTAATCCCTAACTCTATCAGACCCGAAGATCCTAGTTGCATAACGCCCCAACACCCAAATTTTATAAGACCCTAAGACCCTAATTGGATAAGACCCGAAGAACCTAGTTATATAAGACCCTAAGACCCTCAACCGCAGGTCCAAGTCTTGGCAGGCGGGTGATGCTCCTTGGACTGCATGACGAGGCTGCATGTTTTGGAGCAACTGCTTCCATACCTTGTAGGTTTGAAGCCCTACAGCTAAGATACTTTTTGGTGGCCTAGGGTTTAGGGTTTTAGGGTTCAGGGTTGCTTTGGGATAATTCTCTTGATGGCAACATCTTCACAGCAGCGTCCACCAGCCGGGATTGGATTGCAGCGGTTCCATGACCAATTGAAACTGCCGGCAACCGCCCCAGGGCCCTTCTGATCTCTACTGCTATTGGTGACTCTGTGTTACGTGAGAAACTCTGCATTGCCAGCTACTGCATGCATGCATGCATATTCATGTATATATATATATATACATATTGGTAGCTATATATATATATATATGTTTATTTATCTATTTCTACGTATATTTAGTAGTATACTTGTTTGTTTTTTGGATATGCGCTCCCCGCCTCGTACCTCCCAGCTTCATGTTTGTTTTCACAGCAGCCTTGTCCATCCCTGCGTTGCGTGCTCATCCGAAGGAGAAGTACATGATTTGATGTTGCAAGACCTGTCGCGCCTCCGAACAACAAGTACAACATTCATGACTGGGTTAAATATTTACTTAGGCAAACCAGAGACATGTAAATCTAGAATCCGGTAGTAGGACAGCTACTGGGGTGGATGTGCACACACGACGCTTCAGAAGACCTTGCAGCGTATGTGGATGTGCCCTATACACTCAGACGTATCTTGATACTATACTTTTCCTGGATCTGCAAACCCCAAACCATAAAAGTGTTCTTGGTCTTTGTCGCAATCGACATAAAGAGGATTAGGGTATGTCCCATATGCTTTGTTGTTTTGTGAGATGGTGGGGAAGCTTTGTAAGGGCATTTTCTTGTCAACGGTTGAAGGTTGAGGAAGAAGCTTGAAACTATTCCAGCGACTCTTCACCAGGAAAGCCGACTGCAGACTTGACAAAGGTATTGAAGGCTAGGTTCGTTGGACATGGTGCCGTGTGCGTTGCTCAGAATCCCGCATCCGAATGTGACGTCGGTCCATATGCGAGACAAATTCTCCAGCAGCACCTATACAACACGACATGGCCAAGTCACCCGAAGGGTGTGGGGGTCGGACTGGTTGTACTCCCTTATGATCCTGCTATAGATATAGTACAAGAACCCCCTCCAGAAAAAAAAAAACTATTCTAATTATGAAGGCCCCCATATTCGACACCATAGGTACCTGCTTAGGTAGATACCGTTCCCCCCTTCTCTCTCTCTCTCTCAATGTTTCTTCCTCTATGCTGCTCTCTACAGCATCCATTATGAACGTCCATGGGTACTGAAACGCTCCTGAAACAGCCTGGCTTTGTACTTTGCCGCCAAACGCCAGATTCATGTCCAGCCACAGAAAGCCACAACACTGGCTGGTCAATTACGAGGCAGCCTCTTCGCAAGAGGCGACATCGGCTGCTGGCTGCCCGGCACCGGGGGGCTTCATAGGGTGCTTGTGTAGACGGGGGCCCTGCTAGGAATATGTCTTGTCGTGCTGAGCTGAGGATGCTTCACGCAAAGCCCTACACTACCCTAAACTACCCTAAACTACCCTAAACTACCCTAAACTGCCCTAAACTACCCTAAACTACCCTAAACCCCAAACCCAACACCCGAGCCTGCAGCCTAAGCCATGGCCTAGGATTGCCTTCAAGTAGTTCCTCACGGGTTCTGGCAAGTGACGGAATTTGGGTCAACCCCGTTGGACCCCGCAATCGTCTCTGAACAGGTTCTACGTATTCGCACAATATACATATACATATATATGTATATACACATATACATTTATACATTGTTTTGTTTATATTTATGCATACGGGAGTGGGGGAGCTGGGGGAGCATAAGGTGCATAATTCCCGAGTGCCCCATGAAATACTTGTCAGCCCTAAACACCGCTCAGGTGACTGGGGCAAGGCGCGGGGTTGGTTTAGGGCTTGGCGCCTCAACCCTTAACCCTGGGCTTTGGGCTGTATGGGGTTTAGGGTTAAGGCTTGAGCTACGTGGGGGCTTGCCTTACTTGCCTTAGGTGTGTGGGCTCTGTGGTGGGTTCGGGCCTCAGGGGTACCTGGTGCACGAATGGATCTTGGTGCTGTTTGAGCGTGTCAAGGTGTCAAACCTCGCAGCTGCCACACCTATCAAGCCCCTGGCCCGATGACTCCCAAACCCACGCGTGGGCTGTCCAGCTATGTGGGTGGCAACTAAAAAAGCCAAACCCATTGAAGGTTTAGGTAGAGGCCACACCCTAAACCCTAACCCTAAGCCCATCGACCTAGTTCAGCCAGGGCGACATGTGGAACGACCAGAGATGGACTGAGCGGGATGGCAACCTCCAGAACAAGCGTGGCCGAGCACCACGGCAGCTGTTTCAGGGTCAAAAGGTGTAGGGTTTCTAGGGCTTCTGCCAATCCTGATGAAAAAGGGATGGTGCTTGTTGAAGGGACAACAGAAGTGGCGAAAACAAGTGGCTGTGTTTGGGGGCAATCCGAGCAGTAGAGGGGGCCCCTCCTAGATTTTGGGGATTCCAAGGCAGCAAACTTGAGTTTAATGGAGCGGCCGACGAGATTCTCACATACGAAGCCAAAGCGAACTCCAAGCAAGATGCAGAGAAACAAGGAGATGAGTGGCGATGGACCATGGCAGGCACGGACATGGGGCCACAGCTTACCAGCAGTCGCAACCCAAAACCCTGCCTTAACCTTAAACCCACTCTAAACCCCAAACCCTCTTAGAAGCCCTGCATCCCAAAGCGGTTCCGCCCTCCCAGCTTGCGCCCGTCGGTTTCCCAATACCCTGAGAGGCCCAAGTAAGCACGAAGTCATCGCAAACCTAAAGCCCCTGTACTGAGTTCTCGCCAAAGCGAATCGAGTTCAGCTATCATCCTTGAAGACGCTTTACGAAGGCTGCAGTTCTCACCTTCTTGTGCATTGTAAATAAACCTTAGGTTCATTAAGAAGAACCCAGTGCCCAAACCCCGTGAGCCTCAAGGGGCCCCTATTGAAGCAACTTCGTCCGTTGCCGCTGGCCATTCTACAAAAGAGAATTCCAGAATAGCTGGGCAACCACCCGGCCGAACGCGGACCCTAGACCCTGTAAATCCTAGAGCCTGCGACCCCAAACCCTAAACTTTCACCCCTAACCCCAATCCCTAAACTCGAACCCCCAAACCCAGACCCTTTTTTGGCACCCGTCCAGATATGCGGGTGTCAACAAAACCCACAGCCCCGAGTAAACCCTAAACCCCACAAAGAAAGAAGCAAAGAGGCCTACGACGGACGGCAGCCCTTGAAGAGGCCGAAGCAGGAGCCCTGCACTAGAGACTTGGTTAGGGTTTAGGGTTTAGGGTTTAGGGTTTAGGGTTTAGGGGTAGCACAGTCCAGCTAACTTGAGGAGCTTGGATTCCAAAAGATGGGGGGGGGTTGCATGGTGTTCCTCAAGGTGCTCCCAAAGATGAACCTTATGAAGTTGCTTCTGTCGGGTGCAGAGGTCAAGGTGAACAACGAGGCTTAGGAGTTTTAGGTGCAGTTTTTAGGGTTTAGAGGTTTTGGGGAGAGGGTTTTGGGCTTGTGGCAGGTTTCGGTGTCAGGGTGTTGGGGCTGTGGCAGGTTTCGGTGGGCTCGACTGGATGGCTTGTGGAGGCTTGACCGAAGATCATCCTTAGCCAAACCTAGTACTCCTCACCTGCATCATGATTCTGAGTGAGTGTCGAAACCCTACTTTGCAGTAGGTAGTAGGCCTTAGTAGGCCTGCCTGCGAGCATGGCTTGCACCACCATATGACTCCACATCGCCACTTCCTCGGTCGTGGCCGACCGGCAACGGGTCTTCGCTTGGCTTCTCCGAACTCTTGAGCGATTCAGGGCGCTTTGCCGCTTCTTCGCGCAAGTAGCGTAACTTCGGCCACCCGGTGCTATCAAGTCAATGTCATGCTGGGAGGACTTTGGCGATGCCTGGATGAGACCGCAGGACGCTGGGAGCCAGCAGTCGTCACCTTTGATGTGTCTCATGCTGCGGGTCATCTCGTGCCTCCTTACCAGGACGGCGAGGACAGGGGCAAGAAAGAAAAGAAGGCGGCCAGGGGACTTGTCGTGTGTGATGGGCGTTGGGCATGTAACCTGCAAGTGTGTTTACATGCATCGTCTAAGTCGCCAGCGAGCATGATCATCGATAGTGCTAGTGCGTGCTCGGGTTGCCGTACCAATTACAGAGTCGAATATTCAGCACAGCGCGAGATGCCGCACTTGTGAGGTGTAGACTTGAAGCACTTGAATGTGGATGGTCAGGGCATTGCAGGGCCAAAAGCTACGATGCGACTGCTTTCACCGTCAGAGAAGCAGAACTGCAGAGCCTCTAGCTGCCCCCCGCTACCCGCTGGAACCTGGAGATGTTCTGCGCAACGCCCACGTGAGTTCATTGCTGCGGCAAATTGTGGGGCCCCGACAGTTCTTCACAAGGAAAGCTGCTCACAAAGAGCGTTAGATACGGAATCCCACGCAATTGCTGTCAAGGGCCTTGACCATTGGGCAGGAGAAGAAGGACAAGACGGAGAAGAAGGAGCGAAAGACTCGAATCTCTGGTGCACGCTTAGGTTTGAGTTTCTAAGGCAAGGGCGATCAAGCGCGTGTCTCGCCATTCGCCTGGGCGCATGCCGTTGCAACACACCCCAGAGCTGAAAACCTGGAACTGGGCAAGCCCCTAAACCCTAAACCCTGAACCCCCTTGGGATTTTTCCTATTTTCCCTTCTTGGGCTTAAGAGGATCTCATTTAGGAATATGTACCAAGCGTTTTCAGGGCCATCCTGGAGAGCCCAAGTCGCTATAGACTTGTGATATCGGGTTTAGGGTTAGGGTTTAGGGTTTAGGGTTTAGGGTTTAGGGTTTAGGGTTTAGGGTTTAGGGTTTAGGGTTTAGGGTTTAGGGTTTAGGGTTTAGGGTTTAGGGTTTAGGGTTTAGGGTTTAGGGGTTCAGCGGCCCGCAAGATGGACAGTTGGACATCCATAATCCTTGAAACCACAGCTCCGTGTGATGGATTCCTGTGCCTTTATCGCCTGGGGCTTCTAATTGAATGCGGAGTGCTCTGAAGTTGCCCTAAACCCTACGTAAACCTTAAACCCTAAACCCTAAATCCTAAACCTAGGCCCTAAACCCTGCAGATCCTAGGAACTGGCCGCGACCCGCCTGCGCGCGTGCACGGCAACCAATGGGAGGCCGGCTAGTCACCTTTCATTCTTGGGTTTAGGCTTTAGGCGTTAGGCTTTAGGCTTTAGGCTTTGGGCTTCAGGCTTCGGCTTCAGGCTTCAGGCTTCAGGCTTTAGGGTTTGGTTGAGGTACATCTTCAGGTGTAGCGGTGGGTCTTAAGTACACAGCGTTTGAAGACCCGCTTTCATACATATTCATATTCATGCATCTGAGCAAGCGCCACAACCCCAGCCATTCAAGTAAGCAAGGAGATGACACGAACGCCTAAAACCCTGTGAAGCGATGGGACCACCTGAAAAGCGACACCCCGGAGTTAATGAACCGTTGTAGTGGGCCGGCCATATCCTTGAATGTTCCCAAAGCGACGCCTGCAGACATCAAGCGTGGATAGCTGCTGTGAAAACCTGTAAAGCGATGGGAGCACTTGAAAGGCGCCACCCCTCATGTTGCTCGGCAGTCTCTCATGTAAGACATATTCCTAGATAGATCCATATACTCTGTGTCCCTAAGCCCTAAACCCTAAACGTGTGTTTATGCACAGGGTTAGTCAAACGCCTTTAGGCCCTTAGCTTTACTGGGCTTTGACCCAAGATGTCGAAGCTCGGGGACTTGGCACTCCCCTAGGGTTTAGGGTTTAGGGTTCAGGGGTCAGGGTTCAGGGTTTAGGGTTTTAGGGTAGAGAGGGTCAATTGGCTTTAGGAACCCCGCCCCCCTGCGGTAGAGCTGATTGTTTTTGGTGTTTACAGAGAACCCAAGATAGGATCGCAGCTACTGTTTCTAGCAGGGTCTAAGGAGTTGGAGAGCACAGCTAAATTACTAGGTTTTGGAGTACTTTTCGTTAATACTTTTTTGGGTTGTGGGTTCCTATCATAGCGACTTATACCTAAAAAACAGATACTTTTATCCAGGGCCTGCGGGTAAATTACCTTAGCACCGAAACCCCAGCTGCAAGCAGGTGCCTCGAGAGCATATCGGCCTCCAGCTGGTGAAGGAAGGGGGTGTAAGGGGGGTATAAGGGGGGAGACGGGGGGAGGGGGGGTTGGGGTTTAAGGGGGTATTAGGGGAGAGGGAGGGGGGGGGGGGGGTTATAAGGGGGATTGCTGGTAGCTTGAGAGTGTTCCGTTTGCCCTATCCCAGGTCTTGGGGTTTTTAAGCTGATCCAGTCCTGGAATCGAAGGGGTTTAGGGTTTAGGGTTTAGGGTTTAGGTTTTGGGATGAGTCGTGGGTAAGGGTGGCTGTGAAATGATGACTCTGACAGGACGGATTTGAGGGGCCTAGGCTTGGAGGGCAGTCGATCTAAGGTCTTCTCAAGACAGACATCAGAAGAAGGACGGTTTAGGGTTTAGGGTTTAGGGTAGGAGCCTAGAAGTACGAATAATTAGTCTTTCTGCCTGCAATTGCAGGCAAAACCCCAAAGTCACCTTTTGTTTTGGGGAACGCAAGGCACCTGCACAAATCAGTACAAGCCTTGTGCAGCCATGCGGACCCTGAAAGGATCGCGCAGACATGTACAACTGGCAGTATCCTTTTTGGGATGACTCCCGCCGTCCCACGCCTGAAAAGATGGAACCCTAAACCCTAATAAGCCTTAAGCCCTAAAACCACACCCTGAATCCTAAAGCTAGTTTGACCGAAGCCCGACACTTTGCCCCGAATCGCTTGCCCTACGTCACAGTAGGATCCCTATCGCCTGAAGGAAGATGCATGAAGGCGGGTTTAGTGTTCGGGGTTTTGGGGTCCTCTGATGGTGAAGGGTTTAGGGCGTGTTGGGGAGAGTCGGGCAAGGAGGGGAAGCTTGTTGCAAAAGGGCTTCGGTTTCTTGTGAGTCGCAGGATTTGCATCGTTCTCTAAATTATGGTTCCCACGATGGAGAGTCTTGTGCTGACCCTGCCGCTACACAAAGGAGACAATCGTTCAGACCATGATTGCCATGACTCGGATTCGTGCTTCGTAGTCTAGAGTTTTGATCTGTAAGGGCATTACCTACGTGCCTTGGGATGTGTTTGCTATTTTTTTTTTTTGGGGGGGGGGGGTATTGGGAGCTTGGGTATTGGGAGCTTAGGGTTGATATTGATGCAAGTGATTCCGCGGTCTAACCCCTGTACGGGGGAAAGTTGTGAAGATAGGGGATGCTATTGCTATTGTATAAGATACCTAGCAGGAACCTCAACTGGTTTAGGGTTTACGGTTTAGAGTTTAGGGTTTATAGGGTTTAGACCCCCCCCCCCAGCATATTTGCAATAGTCGACTCCCCGGAACAAGCCAAGGAAGCTTCGCCGGGCTCCTGCGCTCACCCTGGACACCGCAGCAGTGCAGCCAGCATCACCGACGCAAGTATGTGTGGAGCTGTGCAATAGCTTAGTAGTAGAGTAGCTAACCTTTAGCCTTTTTGGGTTAATATCTTCCCCTTATATTCCCAAAGGTTAACCTTTAAAACCCCTAGGTACTGGACAACTAAGATAGGCAAAGCCCTTCCTGGAACCATTTGCCTGCCATGTTTGACTGAAAATACCTGTAACTTCCGCCTCAGAAAGGTTCGCAGCACCCAAGGAACTGATTCTTACACTTCTGCATTGTCATTCTGATACAGACCTTTTGAAGGGGATCCCAACCGTAAACCCCCTTACCTGTCTTTTGTCACTGAGCTTGGAGTTTCCGCGAGAGCCTTGTGAATCATATTCGAGCAGGTGTTGGGGTGTAGGACTTCGGACTTTGGGGCGCAACCCTGAACCAACAACTTGTGTAGGAAGGATCCCTACCTGAACGGTTGCAAGGTTCTATGCCCTGGTTCAGAACGGCACAAATTGGATCCAACCTGTTGGCGAGAAGGCCTCTCGATGTTAATTGGCAGCTTTTTTTCTTTCAAACAGCAAGCCTATGGTTTGCGTCTCTCTCCCTTTCTCTTGTTGACTTGAGCATGCACCTTGCACGCCCCCGAAGCTTTGGGATTACAACTATACGCTCGAGTGATTCATTATACGAATATACTAATATATTAATGTACCATGTACTAATATAGTAAGATATGAATGTAACAATATAATAGCCTAAACCCTAAACCCTATGGCGCGGCAGAGAGAGAGAGAGAGAGAGAAACCCTAAACCCTAAACCCTATAAGCCAGTAACTTTCCCAACATTCATTAACATGTGAACTTCAGGGCCCCATGCCGCGGAAGCAGCCTGGCGGCAATGAAGCCCCGTGGAGCGGGTTTAGGGTTTAGGGTTTAGGGTTTAGAGTTTAGGGTTTAGGGTACGGGGGGACAACCAAGGAAGGAAATCAACTCCCCTAATCGCCCTGAACTTATATTTCCCAGATCGAACCAAGAAACAAACAAGAACACGGATAAGAGCAACCCAGGGGGGAAGGAAAGGGGGAAGGAATCCACACCCTTACCAAACCCTAAGAACCCAGGCACTACTTTTTGAACTTGTGGCTTTCTGTTCAAGCCCATCTTGAGCCAAACATAATTTCCGGGTTTATTAACCCTTCCAACTCTCAACACTAACTCTTTTCTACAATACCAATTGCAGCTCCGCACTCCCCCTGTCCTAGGATTTCCTAGGACACATTGGAGATGCAGATCTTTTGGCCAAAAACTGCCTTTAAGGCAGCAGCCAGCTGCTTGAAATGCATGTTGTGGTTTAACGTCTTCCAGGACGGAATTATAGCACATTGGCTAACCTACTACCCATAGAGAATCTCTTTTCACCATGATCCTCTCATCACTGAAGACTCCTTGGCCTTCTTCACCACAAACCGTGGTCTTCGCTACGCAAAAAGCTACTGACTTCTACTATCAGGGATTTCCATACCCTTAATAGTAACCACCACAATGTCAGCACATTGGCTGTTCCAGCGCACCTGTCTCCAGAAAGAGAAAAACCATCCCTTCATCCATACCATCCAGTCACTTCTTTTTCCGATTGTTGGCAATCTTGAGGTGAAGTTGCAGCAGAATATACTCCAGGTCCGAAACTGTAAGAACAGGATCCTGTACGCCCCTTTGAATTGAGGATACCAATCCTTCTCTCTTTGCGTCCTCAATCGCCTGGCAAGATTGACCCAGCTCTTCATTCGCAGTGGCAGACCCTGGTGCATCCGCATCAGATGGACGATCCTTTTCCTCAGGATCTTGCACCATTACCACCTCTTCTTTTTGGGACTCTGACTTTTCTCCCTCTTCTTTGTCTTTCCACCGACATTTGACTTTGTGCGCGTCTTCGAGGATTTTTCCACTGCAGAAGCCACCACATTGGATGTTGATCCACCCTTCTCAATGATCGTCGGCATCTTCTTCGGCTTTGGAACCATGAGAGTGTAAGGATCTTCGATAGCTGCAGCTTTCCTCTTCTTTTTACCTTTTTCTTCTCTTCTTCAACGGCAACCTCCGTCTCCGAAGTCTCAACCACTCCTTTTTCGGCAGGAATATCCTTGCTGGACTCCCTTTCTAGGGACCTCTTTTTACCTTTTTTGGAATCCTTTTCCTCTCCCAAATTGGCTCGCTCATACCATATCCTCAGGTCATTGACCCATTCTTCCACCTCCGCGAGCGAAACCTCATACGACTTCACTACTTCGAGAAGTTCCAGCACTGTCAACATTTCAGTGGTCCACGAAACCCATTCTTGATCCATTTGGTCAGCATCTCCAGTGAACTTCAGGAGTTTGAACAATGGGTCCGCCTCTGCTCGAGCCAAATCTGGCTTGCCACCGGACAAAAAATGAAATCGCCTCCATCAACAGTTCCGTCATCTTGGTCTCTTCGTCATAAACCATAAAATCCTCCTCATCATCATCGAACTGTTCAGGAGAGATCTCCTTTTCTCCACCATTTGCACCAGACTTTCTCCTTGGACCATCCCTTGGGCGTCCTTGAAGACCTTGGCCTCTGTTCTTCCAGCGGAACACCATGCTCGAAGACACACCTGTCACCAAACCGACACTTCCCAGACCGAGCAAACTGGACGCACCTCACACCAGTTGCACCATGCGAGAACCCACAATCCTTTCCAGCGAAACATTCTCTCCCTGCCACATAGTATTTACACCAATACGAATGTAGCACCACATCATCTTCGGAATGGATGAATTTGCAGTCGTCACCAAATTTGCAGCGATCTTTCCCCTTGCCGAACCAATAGCAGAAGCCCTTCTTCCTCTTCTCCAAGCGCTCTGCCTCATACCGGTCCATAGGGCGATTGTGCTCTACATGAACATTGCCATGTACCTGGGGACTGCTCCCTTCACCCGACGTGCTATCAGTATCTGGTGCTTGGAGTACAGCTGGAAAACCTGGCCTTGGTCCTACCACCTTCATGATCGGTTTTCCGCCAACTCCTGAGCCATGCTGAGACGATCCAAAAACATTGAACATCTTCGTGAAGGCCTTTCTAGTGCCAATCTTCTGCACCCTTTTGGTTGGACGTTTCATTGCTCCAACCTTGCATCCAGATGCGTTTAAACGACACAACCTCCTATAACCAACTCTATGTCCCTTCTTCCAAAGAGCCATAAGAATTTTAGAGGCAGTAACATTCTCCACCTCTACCTTTTCCAATGGTCCCTCACTTCCCGGAACAAACCCATCCATATCTGAAGACCTTTTCATCTTTTTTGACACCACTTCGTCGAGGTAGTCTTCCGAGATCCAGGGTAAGTTCCCCTTAGAGGAAGGATTGTCATCATTGTTTGGTCCTTCACCAGGATACCCTTTTGTGCTGTCAAAGATCTTACCAGTAGTGCGGTCCTGCATAGAGAAATTCGAAGCCACGCGGGAGTACACTGACCACAAGAAAATCCTTGTGTCCGCCAGTCTTGATGACCCACTGGATGTCTCCTCTTCCGGAGAAACTTCTGGCGCTTTGCCATCCCCTCCAGTGTCACCACTTGTCTCACCTCCAGCATCTTCAATGGGAATAAGGGATTCATTGTTCCCTTGATCAAGCACCGCACCCTCTGGTCCAAGAACTTCCAGCACCGCTGTCGAAGGATCCACCTCTTCATCAGCATCGTCGTCCATCCTTCTCCAGAGAGCCTCCAATTGGTCCGCACAAGTCGCCGCTTGAAGGAACTCCATCAACCGAGCCCTCCCGCGCTGCCAGAGAAATTCCGAAACCATCACCGACCCTTGGGCTCCAAGATTCAGGAATGGGTGAACCATTTTGGCTACCCTCGCCATAAGTTCAATGTGAACTTCCATGCCTGGACTGCGGCTCCAATCATAGGCAATTGCCTCCATAGCAGTTCCAAACTTGTCAGTATTCTTGAGTTCCCCTTCCAAACCAGGAGACAACAAGGCACCCATCACCGAAAGAGGATAATTCCCCACCGCCGGCAAGCACGGGTTGTCATGGAACGAATGATGCAGGTCACTATAATGTCCTTGATCTCTCCTTTGAAAAAGGAGTGCTCCAGTCCCCAGCTGGGCATTCATTTCATCCACTTGAACCATTTCAGCACATATCCTCTGTGCCATGTACGCCATTGCTGGCCAGACGGAACGATCGGTAAGACCGCGACGCATAACCCAATCAGTTGTTGGCGACTGAATCAGCGTCCTTGGATCATACACCAGAACTACCATCGCACCGTCACCCATTGACTGATCAGCATCGTCCTCCAGTGCCAGGTTCTCATCCTGTTCGCTTGCACCCTCGGATGACATGCTAATAACCAAATTTCGATCCATCTTATTGGACCCTTTTTGGCAGTCTCTTTGCCCCACCGGCAACTTGCCAACTGCAACCTTCCAATAAATCCGAGTCAGAAGGCCTTTAACCAGCAATTGCTGAAGGTCATTCCTCACCGGACCACCCTCCAATATCTTCGCATCATCACCACGGAGTTCATTGCTCCCACCTTCTCCTTCTTTTTGGTCAGTCTCCTCGCCAGAAATCTGTACTGCTCCTTCCGGCGCCGTCTCCTGTCCAGCCACTTCTTGCCCAGGAAGAACTTGAGCGCTTTCAGAGACATTCACCTGTCCAGCAACACCTTGCCCAGGTAAAACCTCATCCGTGGAGCCCACCGCCAGCGAACCAACCATAACTGAACCATCCCTTGCTCTTTTTTGAGACCGTTCAGCTCGACGAGAAGGTTGTGGTAGCGAAAAAACTTGTGAAGTCACTTCTTGGCGGGTCTCCCCCCGCGACGCTTTGTCGCGCCCTTCGCCAAGGTGAACCGATTTTTTCGGCCCGTCATTGGAGCCTGAAGAACCACTTTGCGGAACATTGCCACGATTCGCAGTTCTCTGTGAATCCCTTTCTTGCAAAAAGATTTCCTTCAGGCGTTGTACGGCATTGGTCTCCTCTTCGCTTGAATCGCTTGAGGAAGCGGCATACGAGACCAAAGCCTCCGCCTGTTCATCATCATCCACCACATCTGCCCACGCTCTGCTGAACCGATACGACAACCCACCACGAGGCTTCAGTTCCAGTGGCTTCGGCTTTTCCACCACTTCCGCCGGTTGCACTCGTCGTTGTGACCGAGAGCGTGGCACCTGTCGCACCTGTTTTTTGTCCAGCAAGGGCCTTCCCCTTCTCACAGGGTTTGATCTTGACCGATACTTTTTTGTTGGTGAATTCACCGGCGGCATTCCAACTCCCACCAACCGCAGCTTCTGTACGCACAACGGAGACCTCTGCGCAAGCGTCCAACCATCACGGTACCTGACCTTATCAAAAAGCTCCCGATAGGAGCCTCTCGGCATAGTTTTTGCACCGGAGTCTTCAGCTTCACGCACCTGAGTGAGGGTTCGCACCGCCGCTCTTCCAGTTCCTTTGTTCCCAGAAGATTGTTGTACCCGTACAGATGCATCAGAAGGAACTGCCTTTTCCGGTCCTCCCGGGCGATATCGGACATCACCAACCAATTGCAGAATTTTGCATGCGGTCACTTTGTTGATCCCTTTGTCAACCAAATCTTCCACAAAGATGAACTCTTGCAAGTCCGACACATTGGTCACACCAAGCGTAATCATCACCTCACTTACATGAGGGGTATACACCCACAGGTGTGCGTTGCGAGCCATCCAATTTTCAATTGGCTCCTCCGGATTTTGAAGCTGAGTACCAGTGGATGCAGCCACCGAATTCTTTTGTTCATCAGCTTCTGCTTCATCCAGAATACCTTTTTCACCATCTTTTTGTGACACATTGGTCATTTGCAGCGCTTTTGGTGCCGAGGATGAGGAAGATTCAGCTCCCCCACTCGCAGGTGGCTGAAAAGTGCTTCTATCCGTAAGCTCCCATCCTCTCTCTTTTTCAAACCGGACCTGATTGGCCACCTGTACCAAGTGTTTCAGGAGCGACAGCCGCTCCTCTGACATCTCGTCATGGGAGTACTTGCAGAAATTTAACCCTTTCCGGCAACGTCCTCTGAGGTAATAATCGAAACAGCAATGGTGGAACCCTGCGTCCCTTAGTGACTTCCTGGAAGCATTGTCCCAAGCTTTGCCGGGCTCCCAAGTCCCTTCCAATGCTATGTCATCGTTGTGAAGATACCTGCATGTAGTCCCATATTTACAACCACCTTGATTGTAATACAGACACAGACGACCTTTTGGCTCACCCGACGTAGGTTCACCCTTTGATGCACCTTTGCCAAAATTGTACTTGGCCCGGAAGGCTAAATCCTCCCGCTCCTGCTGTGCCTCATCCACTGTACCTTCCTCTGTGGGAGGGTCACCGATGTTCCCATCCTCATCATCAGCTTCTTGGCTATTCTTTGGATCAGTTGACCCTCCTCCTGGCCAACCTTCACCATAACGACGATGCTCATAGGAACACTCATCACCATTGCGACACCTTCCCCGATTGAAGAACTTGCACAGCTTGCTGTAACCAGGTGACAACACAGTCTTTGGAGTCATGTGAGCCTTTTTGTACTGGTCAGGGTCCATGTAGGCTTCCATTGGCTTGTTCTCCCTTTTGCTCATGGATTGCACTGCACCATCAAGCTCCTGCAAAAATAGCTTGGTGTCCAACCAAAGCGCGTTCCAAAACTCATCTTCCCCTTGATTCAGCACCGTTGCCACCGCTTCACCCACAACTGGTCGAGAAAATCTCCTTTTTCTGCATGCCAGTTCGAAAAGCGCGTTGTGGTACTGTTTTCGGGAAAAAGTGGTTAACTTCCCCAAGCCTGTGCTTTCTGTACCATCAGGCTTCCAACCATCATTTTGCAAGATGCCATACGCGCGCCGAGCTTCCGCATTGAGGAATGCCTGATCTGCAACACACTCCTGTAAATCTTCCATCGGGCGACCCAACAGCATCCCAGTAATTTTGCCAACATAGGCTTCCTCTTCGTTTCCATTCTCCAGAAGAGCTTTGTAGATCTTTTCTCCATAAAGTTGCCTTTCTTCTCGTTCTTCAGAGGATAACTCCTGTACCACAAGCTCTTCATCGGATTGCTCTTCCTCCTGTTTCCAGTCCCATTGACCGTTGGAATCTTGGTACCATTGACCAACATACCATGAATTCGTCCACCACGTACTCCAGCCGCTGGGTTTCCATTTCCGCAGCGTTGAGGAAGAGTCCTCCACGTCCTCTTCCAAAACCAGAAAGGTGTCCAAGATTATGGTACCATCATCTTCCACTAGTTTCACTGTTCCATTGACAGTATCACCAAATCTGAACTGACACGTATTGTTCCCTTCTGCAGGAATCAATACATTCAAATCACCAAGGTCCAAAAAGGCTCCATACCCATTGATGCAGCGCACTAGACCCATGATCTCATCTCCCTCTTGATAGCAATGTGTCCCAGGTGATTCCAAGGCTCCCGCTCGGGGCACTTTCTTTGCGTGCTCTTCAGAAACCACCTCTGTATCATCGGCTCCTGGCGCATCCTTTGTTTTCACCTTTGGGTCACACTGCTCGTCCTGCTCCACGAGTCCCACAAGCTCATCTTTTTTGTGCTCCTGGACTTCAGGACCTCCCTTTTTCTCCGCCAAAGGCTTTGCCTCATCTGCTGTAATTCGCTCGGTGTCGACTTCCGGCGAACTTCCAGACGGCAACACTTCTCCCTTCATGGGAGTGGACCCATCATTGGAGTCCTTTGTCACACCTTCTGCAGCAGGCAAATCTTCTTCCACTGCAGGGCAATTGAGTCGATCATCCACGGCAGGCACGCTTTCTTCCACCGCAGGCTCCCTTGGTTCCATGGCTTCCAAAGGAGAATTTCCACCATCGTTGACCACAGCTGCCTCATTGGCTCCGGTGTAGCCCTTGTCATTTCGTTCCTCGCGGCTAACTTCAGGTTGCACCAGTGCGTCCACCTGTGAGCCTCCATCATCAGCTGCTGCGGAGACCTGCGCCCCATTGTTGCAGTCGCCCGTGGAACGTAACACCATATGCACCTCAACCCGTGCTTCCTTCGCACTCCAGGTAATATCTGGCGCATCGACCCGCGCATCATTGGCGCTCCAGGCCTCATTTTTCAGATCTTCCGTGTCTCCAGCTATTCCAGAAGCTTCTTTTTCCCCTTGAATGGCAGGAATCTTGGCACCAAACGAAGAGACCTCCTCAGTCGCAACACACGACCTTTTCCCTCCGTCTTCCAAATCTCCAGGACCACATTCCTGAACGACAGGTACCACATCCACCACTCGCTCTTCTGCAGCCGACACAGTTCCGATCTCCACATTGGGAATCTTTTCTTCTGGACCTACCGATTCCACCGCTGCCACACCCTCAGAAAGTGCTCCCATTCCTTCCCGATCCAGATGTTGAGCTCCAGCGATGTCTGCTCGGTTTCCAGGAATCTCCTCCTCATCAGGAGAACCCGAGGTCGGGGCGTCACCACCAGCCCTAGGACCGCTATCCCTGATAGTAGAGGAAAAATCTTTTTCACCTAAACTATTTACACTACCCTGGAATGCCCTCGTAGACTCAGTCTTCGGAGTAGAGGATGAAGAATCCAGTGCCGCCTCCATTTCCAGCTCATTGCCCGAAGGAGACCCAACCACCTCGTCACTCTTCATCTTTTCACCTACCACCGGCAATGTCCACTTGCTTTCCTGCGTATCCAGGCAGTAATAATATTGTCTCCCATCTTCATGGAGGTGCCATTCCCACGTTGTCCCATCGCACGCTTTGATCAGATGCTCATCTTTCCGAAAACCATCCCTTTCAGAGACCTGACGCATCTCGTCCTCCTCTTCGGACAACTGTTGCAACCTCTCAGCCTCCATCTGTAGGATCTCCTCCTCCCCCATGGCGTATTCAGCAGCAGGTGCAGCTTCAAAGCTGTCCGCACCCTTCTGTTCGTGACCGCTTCCACCACCTTGGGAACTCGAAGATGGATCCCTTTTGATCTTGTTCAGAGGCCTCCTGGCCGCTTGCAGCACTTCTCCAATCAGATCGGTCTGAGACTCTTGGTCTACCATTCGACCCGAAGTCGAAGACGACGGCTGATACCCGTGTTTGTGCAACACTCGTAAAACAGTCACCTCCATTTCACGATCTATACCACCAGTCGCGTCCCAGTTCCTTTTCTCACCAGGCTTTGGCGATACAGAGACAGCACGTCCTTCAGCTTCAGTATTGCTAACCATATCCACATTGGGGTTCATACCCACATTGGGGCTTTCTGCAACCAAGGCTTCTTCCAGATGTTCTTCAGCGCCGGGAATCACCTCTTCCAACACCGATCTTTCACCCAGAGACTCAGCTGCACCATTTCCAGCTCCACCATTTTGTCCACCATCCGAGGCAGGTTGGAGCCATCGCTTCGGAGAAGGCATTGCTTCTTGATCCCAAAAACCTTGAAAGAGCACTTAACCGCAGGGAACCTAATTTGGGCTCATAACCTACGGGGGGACAACCAAGGAAGGAAATCAACTCCCCTAATCGCCCTGAACTTATATTTCCCAGATCGAACCAAGAAACAAACAAGAACACGGATAAGAGCAACCCAGGGGGGAAGGAAAGGGGGAAGGAATCCACACCCTTACCAAACCCTAAGAACCCAGGCACTACTTTTTGAACTTGTGGCTTTCTGTTCAAGCCCATCTTGAGCCAAACATAATTTCCGGGTTTATTAACCCTTCCAACTCTCAACACTAACTCTTTTCTACAATACCAATTGCAGCTCCGCATAGGGTTTAGGATTTAGGGTTTAGGGTTTAGGTTTAGAGAACCTCCGCTGTGCCGCCCGCACCAGAGGAGGTTGTGGCTCCTAAGCGCAGCCCTCGCGTGAGTTCAATGGTGCTAGACCCTTCTCGGTTTAGGGTTTAGGGTTTAGGGTTTAGGGTAACTCAACAATCAAGGCATGTTCTAAGCAAATGGTCATAAACACCTTCCCACTGTGCTGTCTGTGACTGGCGGAGAGGACGGCTTGGCTGGTGAGGAAAGGCTGCGAGTGCAGCTACAGCTATGGGCCTTTCGAGGCCTTGGGGTTTAGGGTTTAGGGTCTAGGGTTCAGGGTTCAGGGTTTTGTTTCGATTGCTGGATAAGTCTGGTTAGAAATTCGCTCACCCTCAGTCTTGAAACCCGAACCCTGTTTGTGAGATGAGTCCCACAGCGATTGCATATTACCATAATAGTACACCAATAACAAAAAGTTCTAATACAACCGTATATTAATATACTAATACTATGAATGCCTAGTAATATACTAGTACACTTGCCTGAGCCATGCATACTTTCTGTCGGTCGTTGACGCAGCGTCAGCCCCAAACCCTAAACCCTAAACCCTAAACGGGCCCCGGGTCGGCACAGGTCAGGGCTTCCAGGACAGGGAGCGTTGAGGGTTCTTCGCGAGGCGCTTGCACAAGTTTGGATGCCTGTTAGTAGGGTTTAGGGTTTAGGGTTTAGGGTTTAGGGTTTAGGGTTAAGGGTTAAGGGTTAAGGGTTAAGGGTTTAGGGTAGGTTTTTGCGAGAAGAGCACTGAAGCTGCTTGGGTTCTTCTCGGTTCACATTCGATTCCTTAACCTCTCGTTGGGCATGTGACCGAAATAGAAGGACCCTTGCACTTGTAGTTCTACTATGTGGTCGATATGGGAGTTTACGAAAACAGGGGACCCCTATAATAGGCCCCCCCAGTAGAAGGATTCCCTAAACCAACAAGGTAGCTTGTATTTGCGGAATCCTGGTCCCCTTTGTGGGCTTCCAACTAGACATCCTTTGGTCTGGAACTGGGATCGGTTCCAACTTTGTTGGCAGGTCCCGCCAGCTGAGTTCCCGCCATGGATGATCCAGCTGATGTCTGAGGCCAGGTGGTTTGGGGTTTGGGGTTTAGGGTGTTTTTGTTTAGGGGGCCCGTGCCCTTCTAAAGAAGTATCGTATTCAAATGGGTTCTCGGAACAGCGCTCTTGAGTTAAGGGGGTTTGGTATGGAATGCGTCTTCGAGTGGTCGATGTACCAAGTTGCCAGTTCTCCCACTTACTTGGTCGGCCCTTGGGATATGTGCGTGTTTTGCTCTGTTGGGTTTTAGGAGGATAGTGTGCAGCAACACTTTTCCGAGGGTTTAAGCGACCAACCTGGGTCATAATATGCCCACCTATGCGAGAATTAGCGTGGAGAGGCGCCTCCTCGTAGATTTCTCGGCCTGAAGGGCGTAGGTTCAGGGGATTTAGTTGAAGCAAAAGGGTTTTTGTTTATTGAAATTTAGGGGCATCAAGACTTAAGATGACAGAGGTCATGCCCTTTTGCGGCTTCACGAACGTCGGGGAATGGCCAGCGGCCTGACTTCCAAGCGTCCGGGTTCAGGTCTGTTTTTGGGTCATAGTACATAGACAAGTATGAAGACAAGTATACATACTATGCTTTTGGTAAAATCGATGTTTGTATATCTACATATATACGTATCACATATATACATATAAATGTACACATATGTGGATACATATGTAAAAAATGTGCGCGCAAGCCCCAAACTCTGAAACGGCCAAGCTTGGCCCCAGACCTGAGATGTTTGGACTCCAGGACCCAGAGTCGTAGGCCACCCTTTTAAACTCTGAGCCCCAAACCCTAAACCCCTGGAGCCTGCGAATTATGGTTCCTACACTCTTGGATACCCTAAAGCCCAAACCCTGGAGCCTTTTAATTATGGTTCCTACACTCTTGGATACCCAAATTATGGTTCCTATACTCTGTGATTAAGGACTGCTGCAACTTGAACTTGTACGAGAGTGGCGGCTCAACTGTGGGCTGGCACTCAGACGACGAGTCCCTCTTCCAAGGCCTGACAACAGTCCCCAATAGCCCTAAACCCTAGCCCTAAACCCTAAATCCTAAACCCTAAACCCTGAACCCTAAACCTTAAACCCTCACCGGACACACTTGACCCGGCAGCTTCATCACAACCAGATGTGTCGAAAAATCTAAACCCTAAACCCTAAACCGTCGCCCGAACTGAGCAGATGCTTGGGAATTATTTTCTTTGTTTTTTGAATATACAACCCAAAGGATATCAAGAATACTATTTTCATTATGGTTCTAAGGGGAGTACAGTTGCTTTCATGTGGGGGTGCACGTTCCTGTGCCCTCCCGGACGCAAGGGACGCTGATCCCCGTGCAATCCTGAGCCCTAAATCCTCAAAGTTCCAGAGGTTGCTTGCTAGTTGCTTCAAGAATCCCACCCAAGATGAATACTGTCTCGCTGTTGTGTTTGTGCTTTTTTGGGAGGTTCTTAAGGCAACTAGTAGTATCCGAAGCAAAGGCCAAGATCATGCAGCTTCAGGGTCTGGTGGCAACCTGTTCCTATCTGGGATAGCTTGGCAAAATTCTAGTAAGACCCTATGATTTCCAAATTCTGCCAATCGGAACAAAGGGCTGCAGTGTGAATGAAACACAAAATATCAGTTTCTTTGATTCCGATACTTTCGATTAGGGGTTCGCAGGCTCAGTGCAAAGCAACTTACAGAGTTTTAAACTCAAACTGCCTTTCCTAAGATTTCCCGAAACGGAGAGATTGGGGGGGCTCAACATCCCATGATTGAAGCTTTTCTTTCAGCAACTCCTTGACTTGACAAAAAAAAAGGTAGATGTGCCAGGGGCCCCTTGTACTTGTCAAGGGTTTTGTGGTTTCTGGAGCTTCAAGGGATCTGACACCCGTCAACCTGGAAAGAGCCCAACTAAACTCCGTGCCCCACACGGCTTTGGGAAGCAGATAGCGATGAGGTCAGGGGAAGTTAAAATGCTGTGTACTGCCGAGCTCGGACGGTGTACAGCTCTTTTGCTTAACGTTGCGGGAGGGATGCCTCATCACATCCGCACCCTTAAAGAACGTGAAGTCTGTGCCAAAAGTACCTTGCGGAGAGCCCTGCCACACAGGCCGGTACCAGGATGTCACGATCATCTCCATGTCCCTGGGTAATCCGAGGATGGAGCCTGCTTTCATGCCATTGATGCTTGCAGAACTCTCGCCCTTTAGGTTTCAGAGCTTGCTTGCTTCGGAAAGCTTTGCCCTAAAACCCTCAACCCTAAATCCCAAACCCTAAACCTCGCTCGTAGGACTTTCGAGTTGCGATACCTCTACCCAGAAGAGTCGGAAGAAGCGGCTCGGCTCTAGCCCCCGTGATCTTGGAGGAACGCACAAGACCGCAGTGCACAGCCCGGGCATCTTTTCTAAGCCTTCCTTGGCTGCGAAAATGCCTAGCTAGTGTGCCCCTATGGAAGTGAGTTGAGGCCAAAACGAAGTCGCAAGCCTGGTTCGAATGACTCCGAATGACGTCATCAAGCCCTTGTGTACAAATGATACGTACTGGACATGCCTCGTAACCCAGTGGTTCTACACTCTGGTTACTGGCATCTAGTATGCCAGAGACCACATAGAAAACAGAGCAGAAACTCACGTAGGCGCGCTGTCTAAGAAAGCCATCCTAGTCCAGCATGTTGCTTCAAGATCGAGACACTTCCAGCCAAGCCCCTGAACATAACTAAGTCGTTATCCATCATGTTTTAACCGAGTCGTGTGGTTCCCGAAAGAATTCCTACTGCTGAAGTAACCTGCGTACAAACCTGGGTTCTCCCTCAAACCTAAACCTCCAGTACCATGTAGTAGCCGCATGACCATATTCACTGATTCTGTTTCTGGCAGGCTTTGCCGCATTGGCATAGCCGTACGAGTTGCCATCAGGAACTTAGTCGCGGCGGCATTCGCCCTTGCAGCTCCCTTTTTGTGACTTCATGATTCACATCCCCCGCCCCGTAGCACATGCAGGGGTAGGGAGATGTGAGCTCCTTTTTTCTTTTTTTCAGATGAGCTACCTGTTGAGGTTCTGGTTTACAAGCATTCCAGGCATAGCACGAGACAAGGTTTTTTGGTTTGACTTTGACGAAGCTTCTGGAGTCCTAGTTCGAGTTTAGGGCTTGGGGTCCAGGTAAACCCTAAACCCTGAACCCTAAACCCTAAACCCTCTTGCTCTTTCAGTCACATGGTTCCTTGCTATAGACACCGGGACAGCATCCCTGCCCCGTTACGCGCCCCTCCCCACCAAAAAACATTCTCTGAGCAGCTTCGTTCGACATGTATGGCCGCAGTTCTTTTTCACCTCTACGGCATGGCCATAGCACTCTGCACCAACCCAAAGTTGGTAAGTGTCCTGTCCTGGGATTTAGGAGTTAGGCTGCTTGCGTGATCACCGCTTGAAGCCCAATTTGTTGGGGAAGGGTAGGCGTTGAGGCCGGGCTCGCGTTTTCCCCGTAAGCAGACCACAACATTCCTGAACCCTATAGACCCTAGACCCCGAAACCTCAATTCGCAGGAGAAGAGCTCCTTTGCTCGGAGGTTGCCAGTGCCTCCATCGGCCTGCTAATTTCAGCCATCCTGACTCCCTACACGTGGGGCCCTTTATGATTCAAAGCAGGGGCTTCGATTTATTTCCTACGTTGTAGCGCAGAAGTACCAAGGAATCACGGGTTTTGCTGTACCTTGAATGAAAGAACATTACCTGCAGAACTTACATCAGCCTGCTGAACTCTACTCTAAAAGCCTGTCAAAGGAGGGTTAAAGGTTCCAAGGAGCACACGTTCATGGAGCCCGCTACAGGAAGCCTTTCCGCCTAACACCCCGCTCAAATCACTCCTCAAACCTCCTTTGGGACAGAAGGGTTGTGAGGTTTAGGGTTCCCTAAACCCCAAACCCCAAACCCTAAACCCTAAACCCTGTACCTGAAACCATGGCCATCTTCCGACCTCTCGTGTTGGCTTTTGACACGTAGAGGCGATCCTCCACCGCTTCGTGCTGGGCAGCGGTGACCTGATGACTATGGAGGGCATGGCACAGTCCCTCACCACCATTGGAGTTTTGGGGGGCTGACGCCATACTTGGGGAGGACTTCGGGTCTCCTTTTGTACCCTAAACCCTAAACCCTACACCCTAAATCCTAAACCGTCGAAGCCTTCTGGATTGCGGGTCAAGGGTTTGGGGTTTGGGGTTCAGTTTGTTAGTGGATGTGCAAGATTGGGGTTTCTTGGGAGGGGGCAGCAGGGACTAGTTAAAAAAAAACCCTAACTCACATAGACTGGGTCGCATGTCGGAAAGGCACGCAGATTTGCTGGTTTAGGGTTTGGGGTTTAGGGTTTTGCTGGTTTGGCCGTCCCACCTCTGTCGCCCTCATCTGCCCCACAAGAGCGCAGTCGTTCGGCAAGATGTCGAGTTTCGCACCCCTCAACCCTAAACCCCACAAGTCCTATAAATCCTGTAGACCCTAAAACCCTTGATCCAAGGAAGCACACGCAGCATCGGGTCCCAAAAGAGCCGTCTTTCGGAGCTCGTATCAACCTCACTTGGCGCTGGGTGCGGGCTCCCAGCCAGAGCCCGAACAGGAAGCCCTTAAGGAAGATCAAATGTAGAGATAATATAGGTGCATAGGGTTTAGGGTTTAGGGTCCTGATATATATATGTATATATCTGTATATCTCTCTCGCTCTCTCTCTCTCTCTCTGTCTCTCTCTCCGTGTCATGCTGAGAGTCTTTGCTCCGTACCAGGGCTTCCCACACAGAGGGTTTCTCCCCTTCCTCTTCCCACATTCAGGGAGTTCCAGAAGCGCAAGAATGCTTGTGGCTTGTTATCAACTGAGGCTGGGGAGTTACTAAGACGGTGTTTTTTGTTGCTGGGATATACCGAGCAGCGTTGTGGTGACTTTAGAAGAGGGTGAAACTGGTTGCCCTTCACTCTTGCACTTGCAGGTTCTTTGATGTCGTGTCGGCCAACCCCATATACACTACACATGCCATTCGTTCATGTTCGAAGCCGTGGGCATACCCACACTCTTTGCACGCCGGGGCTCTAGAATCCCAGGCAAGGTCCGTAAACAAGACCTGGCACGTGAAAGAAGCGAGAAGCAACGCCGGCCGAGGTCCGGAAACACAGGCCCCAGTGCCCGGCCGGACATGCTTGGAGATGAGGGCGCCTTCCGAGCAAGCGACGACACCTTTGTGCTGCGGAAGCTTTTTGTCTATCAGGTACCTTATAGGGTTCTTAAGGTTCCCGAGGTACCTACCCCCCTTGAACCCCCCTCCTTAAGAACCCTGTTAGTTCTTACTGGGTACTGGTAGCACAAAGCTCCCGATGATGGCTTCTAATGATGATCATGTGGCACAGGCAGCAGATGAGGAAGCAGGTTGCTTAATGTAGGGGTCGGAAGCATTGCTAATCATATTCCCTTATGGTGCCTTTATAAATATACTATAGTATCCCCAAAACCCTGTTCTACTTATTCAGGCTCCTACAGTACGGAAGCTCAGCTGTGGCGTTGCGGTGCATGTCGGTGAAGCGCAAAAGTCGTGAGTGAGTGCCGACAATACCTTGCTCGCCAGTTCGGAGGTGCAGCTCCCAAGAGGCAAAATCCCGCCCCTGCTGGGCACCTGCGCCGGAGCAGCGGCAGAGTTGCTAAGTTGTTCAACTAAAGCTGCGCGCACCACATGTCTACATGACAGCTTATCAGGTCCCGTCCCTTCCAAGCTACGTCTCTCATACCTGTTCTGCCGATCTTTGCCGGCTGTGCCCCTTAGAGGCCAGATAACCTACTGCTTCAAAAGGGCCTTCGGGCTCCAGGTAAACCCTCAACACCCTGGGGTTTATAGGGTTTATAGGGTTTATAGGGTTTATAGGGTTTATAGGGTTTATAGGGTTTTCTAGGGTTTATAGGGTTTATAGGGTTTAAACCCCCAGACTCTGCTTGCAAGACCGGTGCCCGTGCCTCGAAATGCCAGCCGCGAAGTTCCAAGTGACCTGCTCGGAGCCCGTAGGTTGAATCATGTGGGTTTACGCTTTGAGGGTCTAGTGTCCTTTAGGGGGTCTGTTTGTCAGGGAGCTTGTTGGAAGAAACTCATGCTATAAGGCAAGTGCCTTTCCCCTACCCCTTCATGTGCCAGGACCCTTTGCCCTGACAGAGGGCAGCGAGTCTGGGTTTGTGATGCAGCTTTTCCGTGAACAGCAGCTTTATACCCCTGAGCAGCTCGTTGTTCGAGAACCTACATCCTGTGTTTCGTCTGCAGACACTGAAGCGCCCTAAACCCTGTCCGGCCCTCCAACTGCTAGCTAAGCTAACGGAGGTACGCCCTGCAATAACAATCCCTAAACTCCAATCCCTAAACCCTAGACCCTAAACCCTAAACCCCAGAAGGTTCTATGGTGTTGGGGTCGCAGGGGCTCCTCAGCCCCTGCTCCTGTAAGCCACGCTCACAGCCTGGAGGCACATTCCCTTGGCAGAAGGATGTGCGTAAGCGCCCCCCCCCCCCCCCCCCCCCCCCGAGAGGGTTTAGGGTTTTAGGGTTTTAGGGTTTTAGGGTTTTAGGGTTTTAGGGTTTTAGGGTTTTAGGGTTTTAGGGTTTTAGGGTTTTAGGGTTTTAGGGTTTTAGGGATTTAGGTTTTTAGGGTTTAGGGTTTTAGGGTTTTAGGGATTTATGGATTTAGGGATTTATGGATTTAGGGATTTAGGGTCAGGGTTTTAGGGATCCTAGCTTAGAAGACATCCCACATAGGGAGCTGTCTAGGGTTTAGAGGGTACGGTGTTGAGGGTTTCAATGCGCGGCACAACTTAGCGGACCTGGTGTAAGAAGCTGCCGACTGGGATGCCCGACAGCAATACTCATCGTAGAGGCAGTGCGGAGCACCATGGTCAACCATAGCCCCCCAAGGCCTGCGCAACGCGGTTTCAACATGTTGCAGAGATCTAGCGTAATGTCAAGGAGCTAGTTGCAGTCTGGTAGCAGGGTAGGGTCACAAAGGGATTGATTCGCCCCTACCCGAAGCTATACACTCTAGTCCGTAACTTCGAATTAAGACCTAAGCCATGCAGGGCTCAGCAGTCTTCACGACGCCTGCTGTGACGAAGTCGGACAAGCATCGGAAAAACAAGTTGTTGGGGGTTCGGTTCCCGGGTATGTTTTGACCTATGTGGGCCAGTCCTCTCTAGTAGGACTTCGGCTGGGGTTCATCCTCCCAAATATCTGAAACTTCTCTCACCCACTTCTTGTTGCTTGCACCCGATTTCTCACAGCTCAGAAGTAAGAGCAGCACGAAGAACAAGCTGTGAACCCATCACCAAGACCCTTCATCGGACCCGATGGGCCCATAACCCAAGCCCTAGACTCCCAAACTCTAGCTAGTTTGGAAAAAAGGCTTAAGGGTTCAGGGTTATTACCTCCTAGCTTACCATGCATTCTTGTAGTGTGATTACCATTTTGCAGCGGAGCACGGCCGATGTGGGCAACATGCCGCCGGCCACTCTGCTGCTCGCTTCTATGCCATCTCCTGAGCGGGCTAGTTTAGGGTTCAGGGTTTAGGGTTTAGGGTTTAGGGTTTATAGGGATTAGGGGTTCAGGGTTTAGCGTTTAGGGTTCAGCGTTTAGGGTTTAGGGGTTAAGGTTTAGGGTTTAGGGTTGAGATCTACTGGTTGTGGTAAGATGAACATTAGGAGTAGGATTGCGGATGAGGTTTGCACTCAAGGCTGTGTAGCTTTGGCTTCCGAGGGCTCTGTAGAATTGTCAGGCTTTGTTGGTTTAGAGGTTTTGGCCAAGAGGGACCTGACTGTTCGGTAGACGAAGGCACAGGACCACTTGTTCCAGAATCTTTCTGCCGATGACGCATGACCTTGCGAGTTCAGTCGCGTGTATGTGTCTTGTTGATCTGGCACGGTCTATTTCTCGACTTGGAGATCCCGGCGACCAGATGATAAGGTCAGCATGTGTGCTTAGGACTTAGCGCTGTTGGCAAATGTTGGCACACTGATGACCTGGTGGGCACGAGTCTTGTAGGGCGTGTAAGTCTCTCTGTGTATCCTGTGAGCTGTCAGGTCTTCTTGCGCTCTTCTGGCCGTGCCAGGGGCAGGACGACTCTTTCGCAGAAGGCAGGAACGGCTGACTTGAACTGCAGAGAGCAGCTCAAGAGCTTGGTGTGCAGATGTTCAGCGTGAGACGTGAGAAGCTGTATCCCCAATTTATGTTTGATGAACACCTTGTCCGAATCCTGTTCCGAGTGTAAGGTTTGTTTTTTGGCCGTCCCTGCGCAGACGATACGGCCCAAGAGCGTGTGCTGAGGACGAAGCCCTGCAGCCAAGAAGCCATGGAGGAACCGCCCGTGGTGGTAGGAGCGGTCGATATGGAGATGGCCCCAGAGCAGCGCCTCGGCTCCCAAAGCGTCCGTGGTTTCTGTTCATGCCTGGGCCTAAATTTTCAACTCAGGAAGTCCTAGGATGAACTTTAGGACGCCAAAGTTTGTAGTCAACTCACCTGCCCGCGTAAAAGTTCGAAGATAATTAGGTGTACAGGAGCCTGGAGCGTGCGCACGCCCGCGCGCATGTAAACAAAACGTTCGGCTTGCGTTGCGCAGTCCACGATTGCCCAGGCAGACCATGACAGGCATGGGCTTTTTGCAGTCGCTCCTCGAGCCCCACAGTGCGCTCATCGTGAAGCAGACGATGCGGGGCTGCTTCCAGGCCGGGGCGCACCAGGCTTCGAAGTCCAGCGAGCGGTTCTTTCGGTGTTCCGAGTTGCGGGTCCTCGGTAAGTCTTGGCCGCCAGTGCTGCTTCCTGAGAGAAGCGAAGCACAAGCATATCACAGACTATATACAACATCTTATATATATATATACATACATACATATCACGTTAATATTTCTTTACGCACTACATATTGTGTATGATATACGATGTACCACAGTATACATCACTATAGACAGTACACACTTTGTGCTGCATTCTACGTATTCAGTATTGTACCTTACAAGTTGCTATGTTGCGAATCATCTGTTGTAATCATATCATATAACCGTAAAGTTCTCTATGTGAATAGTATTTGTAACAGCTATTCAGTTACACCAGCTACAATTTCTTAGTACTTTCCATTATCATTTCGTGCGCGTAGCTTATGAGGAGTGCCTGGGGTGCGATGCCAAGTCCGAGTGCCTTGGGTAGTTTTTGAGATCCGGTTTTGTTTCTCCTCCTTAACCTCCCAATGGCGCAGATTCGGCTTCTTGGGGGGGGGCATAAGGGGGGTACGGTATGGGTATAGGGGGGATGTACTGAAGGGCTTCGTTACGGTTAGTGGAGTCTGGGGCTTTGGGGTTTGAGGGCTTCAATTTTTGGACAGTTTGGGGTTGTGACATCAGAATGTGGTTGCTTTGAGAGAGGAGGCTTGGAATGTTCCCGCCTTCTACTCGTACTAACAGTCCTTACTCGGGAGTATAGTGCCCCCTACTAAGCTCCGTATGAAGGACTGTTAGTGTCAGGGGGAACATCCCAAGACGAGACCAAGGTACAAGATTGCTCCGCTGGACCCCGGCGAGATTCGAGGCTGTGACATGGGTGAGGGGGGTCGCTTAGGGTTTAGGGTTTATGGTTTAGGGTTTAGGGGGCTTTTTTATTTTGAAAGCGCGAAGACAGTGGAGCCAACTACCTACTGGTTCTGAGTGGGGGATGAGGGGTACCCCATAGAATCCTTTCAAGGGCCTGTCTAGGGGTCTCGGGGGGTATTCTGCGGTACTAGTTCCCCCAATTCCCTAGTGAAGAGCCAGAAAACAACTAGAACCATGCTGAGCAGGCATGGACGCATCCGAGACCGCGTTAGGCGCTCCGGAAATCATGCCTCCCGGCTTTGGTCTTCGGGGTGTTTGGGGGGGGGGGGGGGGGGGGGGGGGGGTTGAGGGTCTTGAGGTCGGGTCACAGTGGAGTGTAGACCTCTTGGGGATCCTGTGATCTTTGTTTTTTTGGGGGGGGTTGCTTTGAGGTTTAGGGTTTAGGGATTAGGAGAGAACTTGGGGGGCTCCTCGTGCCTCCCATCTCCCGCGGAGAAGGTTTCTTTTCATGAACGGATCACGTACTTTGACTTGCCCTTCAACGATTTCAAGAAGCCCTGTTGAGTGTTACAGCCCACAGCCTGAAGACTGACGGTGCCGCTCCAAAGGTACGCCATTGAGCACTCCAGCTGCTGCGACGCAGCTGCAGCTGTGGCCGTGTGTTGGGGTGTATACACCGGGAATACAGGATTTCGCGTCGAGGCAGATGTGTCAGATAGGGTTGACCAAGTGTATACCAAGTGTCGTCCAGAATTCTTCTGGTCCAGGGGCCTTAACCCCTGAACCCTACCTGAAGGCTCCAATGTAGATCCTTTTCTTCTAGTACACTACACCAAAAAGGTACTACATTCGGAGCCTTTATGTAAACCCAGGCTGCCGGCTGTGCAATCCGGCGGGGCGCGGTTTCGAGATGCACGTGTCTCAAGGCATCGGTTGGCGCCAAAATTCGGGGTTCGGGTTTAGGGTTTTGGTTTTAGGGTTTTGGGTTTTGGGTTGTGTGGGCCAGAGGGTCTGTGGCTGGGTGGGGTGGCTTTGCCGGTTTGTTGCACTCTCATGGTGAGTTTGTACTAGCTAGTCGCGGCCTGAAGTCTGGGTTCGGACTCTTGAGAACCCCAAACCACTAAACCCTCCGCAGCGGCCACCTCACTGCGTAACCCGGCCGGCCCTTTCAGCGTCCCTACACCTAAACCAAAAGATGCCTATTACACGTATTCATATTGTTCATGATCTGGATAACATGAATAACAAGAACGACGAACAAAAAACTACTAGCAAAGTCATTCATATTCCTTGAACAACAATAAAAAAAAGCCAATAATTGATCTTGCCATGAAAAACCTCAAGCCCAGAACCCGAAGCCAAGCCCCACACAGGCGGCGAAGCTGGTGGACCCCCTGTGGTGATCCTTGGGCTCCATGTAGTCCTTGAGAACCCTGGACATGGTGCCCGAAGCCCTACACTCACTCCGTAACACACCTTCCCTTCCTCCTATAGGGTTTTGGGTTTAGGGCGGTTTAGGGTTAGAGTAGAATCTAATTTTTTGCTCCCCAAAGGCCCCGAGAGAAGCCCGGTTGCACTTCGGGAGAACGGTTTTTGAGGATGTAGAGCTCCTAGTTTCTCGGACCCAAGCGGAGCCCAAAACCGGTTGCAAAAAGGATTAGGGACGTGCGGACATCTGCTGGATGAAGTGTCTACCCCCCTCTGCTGTGCACACGGTGTCTAGTCACGAGTCTAGTCATGGTCTCTTGGGTTCACGAAGCTGCGGCTCGAAGCCGCTTTATACTGTTGTGATTGCAAATTCTTCGTTTGTTATGATCCACCTGTATGGCGGTGAGTTTTTTTTCCGGACTTGTAACAGGCACCGGGGGGTCCCTCCGCGACAAAGGTTTGTAGCAGACGGGCCGTGTCCGCGACAACCCCCCCCGCAACAAGGCTACAACCCCACCCCCCCGACAAGACAGCAATACCATTGAATTTTCTCATTGCCAATCTCGATGCGACCTTGATGCGTGTCTGCAGCAACTTTCACTCAGTCCGCGACAAGGCCTGCGCGACATACCCGCGACAACCCGCGCGACTGCTCGAGCCAGCAGGTGCCCATCTGTAGGACAACCTTGAACGAGAAGCCCAGGGTTTATATTTACAGGGTTCAGGGTTTAATGGCTCTCCGGTAAAATCTCTGCGATCCCTAACCCTTCATCCGAAACCCCAACCCTAAACCTAAGCCCTTTACCCTAAACCCTTGCAAAACCCAACTAAGAAAATTGGGTTCAAAGTAGCGGCGCGACAATGGTGAAACAACCTGCCCGCGACAAGGCTTGTAACAGAGGAGGGGGGGGGGGACCCCCCGGGACAACCCGAATTTTGACCCACTGCCATATTTGTTCATGGAGTGTCGTCTAACTTAGGCCTCCCAGCTTCGAAGCTAGTTTGGTGAACATTCTTAAGCAACCACAGTCTCAGCCCGCTGGCCGCAGAGGAACTATGTCAAGCCCCTCACGTTTCCCGCTGTGTGCCACATCCAGACAGAGAAGTGCCTCACCTTAATGTTGTGCCGTGAAGACATGCTGATGTACTGGTCCATGACGAAACGATGCGAGATGGTTCAGGAGGGTTGTTGGGAGCGAAAACCTGACACGACTGTAGTGAACAGCCGAACCCTGTGGCTAAGACAGACCATGACAGAACCCTAAACCCTAAACCCTAAACCAGGAACGTGTGTCGTGCACTGCAGTGCATCTCTCTGAGTCAGCTAGGCGGGTGGCGAAAAAACCCTAAACCCTAAACCCTAAACCCTAAACCCAAGGTTCGGCAGCTACGACTGCCCGTGCTGCTGCTGCCTCCCGAACATGCAGCCCAAGCTGCCGGATGGGAGTTCACTCGGGCCCCGAGCTTCGAAATACAAAAATGGGAGTTTAGGGTTTCGGGTTTAGGATTTAGGGTTTAGGGTTCCAGGTTCAAAAAGGGTTGAGGGTTGAGGGTTTGGGGGTTAGGTGTTAGGGGTTAGGGGTTAGGGTTAGGGTTGAGGGTTTAGCCATACGAAGCTTTCAAAGCACCCACGCCTAGTTGCCTGAAGCAAGGCTGGTGCAGGTAGCCTGCGGATGCAGGAACTCAAAGCTTCAGGACCCTAAACGCAGACCAAAATGCAGGATTCTTGAATATACAGATGGGTACCTGACCACACCCACACTCCACAGACGCAAGCGTCGCTACATGGCATGCGTAGACACTGATCGCGGCAACGTGGCAGGTCTGAGTCCCGCTACTACTGCGATGTTTGCCTCTACGTGCCGAAGTTCAAGTACAAGGAGGACGACCAGCTCGTGCACCCCGCCCTTTTAGCTTTTTCTGAATTCCAGAAGTTGCATGGGACATCATGCATGTGATGCATGTGACACTCCGGAAAAGCCAGTGTCAACTACCACGACTAAGCCCCCTTTGGCCTGCCTGAAGCTGAAGTTGTGCAAGTACTGCAGAGGTACATCATTCATCCGGAGACGTGCTTGGGTGGCGCCTGTGTGGCTTGCAACATCTGCAGCGGTAAGGGCATCGCATACATGCCCTTCTACTTCCACGACCCGGAGACCGGCGATGTGATCGGCGAGTACGACAATCCCTACACCCCCCAGGTGCGGAAGGTTTGGGCAGGCTGGAAGAAGGAGTGTTGCTCCACGGCCGACACCTTCACAGTTGTCTTCCCCAAGGATGCAACTGTCAAGAGGAAGGCAGGCCTTTTGGGAATGACCTTTCTGATTGATTTTACCATTTTCGAGGGCCATCAGCAAAGCGCTACGCATCTGGCCACGGAATAAGCGGGGCATTCCAGCACGCCAACTCGTTCATGCCTGCTTGGGCTGCTGCGGTCAGGGGGTCTGCATACTTGATGCCCAAGTCACATGTCCTGCAGCATACGCTCAACACGCACGTTTCATGCATCAGGTACTTGGACCCACGGGCCGAGCAGTTGCTAAGTCCTTGCAGTAGCTGGCCTAGACCCTAGTTGTCAGTCTAGCCAGCTGCTACATGTGTGAGCAGTTGTGAGCCACAGTAGATTTGTTGGGAGCACGTCCGAAAATGGCGATCAGGACCATTTTGTGCACACATACCGCGCTTACACATGTTTCCCGTTGAACCATACCATGAAATTAATCATGCCCCTCCTGTAAAGCAGGAGGTCAGCAGATGCTCTACAGTCTTCAGCAAGTTGAAAAAGGGCGCGACATGCATGCCGGACCCCGCCGCGTCGTTTGGGATAGTAGGGGCACCGAGACCGCTAGATGCCTTGAAGCTTTGAAGACTACCTGGGAGGTGCCTGTCTCTTTACACTCCAAGAGCTCATCAAAGCTTCGGCGCCTGGGATGCAGAAAGTGGCTTGTTCGGGGGTGAGGGTTTAGTTTAGGGTTCAGGGTTCTCGGATTCAACATCGGTCGAGGTCTTCACTAGGGGCCTAGTGGCACCACCTCATCCGAGTCGGGTGAGGCTGTACAGTAGCAAGATGTCCTTCCCTCCGGACTGCAAGCAGAACAGTCCACGATTCAGGGGCATGCCATCCCAGCTGTCTTCACTACAATCCTGCCCGAAGCCCTCATCCCCAAGCAGTGCCCGGCTTACGCGGGGCAAGCCTTTTGCTGTGAGGGGGGCTCTTTTTTTTTTTGTGTGTGTGTGTGTGTGTGTGTGTGTGTGTGTGTGTGTGTGTGTGTGTGTGTGTGTGTGTGTGTGTGTGTGTGTGTGTGTGTGTGTGTGTGTGTGTGTGTGTGTGTGTGTGTGTGTGTGTGTGTGTGTGTGTGTGTGTGTGTGTGTGTGTGTGTGTGTGTGTGTGTGTGTGTGTGTGTGTGTGTGTGTGTGTGTGTGTGTGTGTGTGTGTGTGTGTGTGTGTGTGTGTGTGTGTGTGTGTGTGTGTGTGTGTGTGTGTGTGTGTGTGTGTGTGTGTTGTGTGTGTGTGTGTGTGTGTGTGTGTGTGTGTGTGTGTGTGTGTGTGTGTGTGTGTGTGTGTGTGTGTGTGTGTGTGTGTGTGTGTGTGTGTGTGTGTGTGTGTGTGTGTGTGTGTGTGTGTGTGTGTGTGTGTGTGTGTGTGTGTGTGTGTGTGTGTGTGTGTGTGTGTGTGTGTGTGTGTGTGTGTGTGTGTGTGTGTGTGTGTGTGTGTGTGTGTGTGTGTGTGTGTGTGTGTGTGTGTGTGTGTGTGTGTGTGTGTGTGTGTGTGTGCTGTGAAGCTCCACAGGATGGGTGGGGTGGTGTATAGGGTTTTCAACTCCGGGGCCCTGCCAGCACCGCAGTTCGCTACGTTGCAGCACATGCAGAAGCCCAAGCTCAAGCCTTCTGGAAACTCGACTCCCTAAACCCTAAACCCTAAACCCTAAACCCTAAACCCTAAACCCTAAACCCTAGACGACTTTTGGGGGAGGAGAGGACCTGCTTCGACCACCTCCCTGAGTTTCTCTGCTGCCACGAGCCCCCGAGCATCGGCTGCTTCCGTGACGCCAAGCACCGCGAGCTGCGGCAAAGCTAAGCTCAGGCGTTTAGGGTTTAGGGTTTAGGGTTTAGGGTTTAGGGTTTAGGGTTTAGGGTTTAGGGTTTAGGGTTTAGGGTTAGGGTCTAGGGTCTAGGGTCTAGGGTTTAGGGTTTAGGGTTTAGGGTTTAGGGTTTAGGGTGGTTTAGGGTTTAGGGTCAAGATCCATGTGTAGTTTTTATTGCTATGCATGTTAATGTATTCGTTCCTTATACGGAATCGGTGGATGGATTTGGTGCAAGTTTTGGGGCTTCGTCCTAGCGGGAAGTGCAGCATACTTATTCAATAGCCCCGTGTTATTGTATTTCATGATGACTTGTCTTTGTTGGAGGAGTTGACGGAGAGGGAAAGTGGGAGGAGTCTACTGACAGATGCAAGAAGAGGGACTGAGAGGAAGAACGTTAAGTGGCAGCTCCTATTAACATCAGCACAGTATGTGATGTTGGCGAGCAGCTGAGGACATGTGCTGCAGTAAGGCGCGGACAGTCAGAAAACAGTGCTGTAAGGCTGAATGTTGCTTGCCCAAGGTGTCAGAGTTTTTTGCAGGAGTGCAAGGTTGCGTTATAAGATCTAATGCTTCGGTGATGTCTTCGTCGCAAAGCAGCGCTTGTCATTCACGAAAACTGAATGCGTGATGCCCTTGTGACATGGGTTGCTGCGTAGGTGTAGCAAGCCCATCGTAGCGGATCTGTGAACTTGCAGATTGTGTCACCTGGGCGCGGGTTACACGTGCACCAAGACTCCTGTCCCCTGCATGCTGTGACGCGCCAGAATTCGCTGTGGCATGTGCTGGGGCGTTCTGCGCACTTGAGGCAAAAGCAATTGCTCTAGGCACTACTGTTCACGGCACATGCCTCTGTCTATGCCCGCGGATTGAGCAAGGCATCCCACGCTTGGGGGCCATCTCCCCTCATTCTACATCTTTGCATGTGATTGTTTGTAAATTGCAAAACGAAGGTCCTGTTTGGGTCTGCCACAAGGTGCAGCGCCCTTCGAATAAGAACCCCAAGAGAGACCCAGAGAACTTCCAATGTTCTTCCAAGCATTTAGGGTTTAGGGTTTAGGGTTTAGGGTTTAGGGTTTAGGGTTTAGGGTTTAGGGTTTAGGGTTTAGGATTGGGGACTTGGCGCAGGCACCATTCTCCTCTGAGACGCTGACGCAAGACTACCTGCTAGTCCTTGTCACAGGCTTTCAGCGACGAGGCTGCATCATACCATCGTCCCCTTAGGCCCTTACGACATAGCTTCGGCTTTTTTAACATTACCCACGGAAATACAACTAATGTGTTTTTGAGGAGTCTAAGGGGAGCATGTCTTGCCCTTTGGTCGAGGGTGTAGGGCTTTGAGCTTCAATCTTTCTCGAGTACAACTAAGACATGCTGATGGAGTTTGACTCGTTGGGCTGCACATGGTTTCTTTGTTGCGGCCCTTCAAGACACAACGCCTCGTGCGTGCGGTCTCGTTTGACCTGCACAGATCCTGTGAGGCTCCAGCCTGAAACCCCAACCAGCCCGGTGGACGGTGAAGCCCCACATAGGTCGATGCTGTCTACACCCTCAAGCCCTGTATACACCCTACAAACCCTCCAAACCCTCCAAACCCTACATCTACACCCTGGGTGCCCTCCCAAAACCTATAAACCCCCGATACCCTCTAAACCCTGGGCCCATTCACCCGATGCCCCAGGGAGGTGCTTCAGCGCAGCTGTCCCTTCGCTGCGGCCTTGACTCAGCTCTTGCCTTATACCATGGATCCTTGTCAGCAGAGGACCTTACGGTTGAGGGCTTTGTTCGGGTTCCCTGGGAGGACTTCTGCAGACATGCTTGGCGACTCATGAATCAACATTCTGTGCATCCTGGGCCACTCTGGGGCCCCCAAGCTCCCCCTCCCCCTCACCCCCCCCCCCCATGAAAAAAGCATGCCTTCCCATGCCTGGCAAGCTGAGGAGAACCTTGACCTGAAGATCCAGGTCCTAGTCGGCCACGAGATGGTTCCCCTCGCCGCGCGCTCAGCGGGAGAACCTGACCCTGAGCCCCAGAGACCCTGGAGGCGCGGACTTCTCCGGGCGCATCATCTCAGATCCCTGCAGTAGCGCCCAGCTCAGGCGAAACCCTAATGTTCCCCCTTAGACTAACAGTCCTTACCAGGGGTTTGTATAAGGGGGAACATCCCAACCTAAACCCTCAAGCTGGCAAGGCTTTCTTGGGCTTTGGGACCCTGAGGCTTGAGACTGTTTGGGCCCCCTTCTGCGGAAGACGGCCTAAAACCTGTCTGAGATGAGGGCAGAAGGGTGTGATGCCGCCCTCCGAGCACGGCCTTCCCTTCCGAGGTGTAGTTGAGGGTAGGTGGATTAACTAGGCGTGGGGGATGTACTATTTGTTCGATGCCGTGCCTAGTTGAACTGAGTTTGCCTGCAAGTCGGATCGGGAGACTCTGTGCCTTGCCTGCCTCTGCGCGCGCGTGAGAGTCGAAACACTACAAATGTTGTGAGTCCAAATTGCCGCGCACCAGGGGTGGCTGGCACTTCAACACTTACCCACATGGGTATATAGGTACCCCCAAAATAACCCAAAAGGCCAGAATTCTTATTGCAGGACTCCCCCCCAAATGATTTCATATCTTCAGCTTGAGCCTGGACTCCCTCCCCCACAGGACTCCCCACCTCATACAGGGGTCGGAAGAATTACTACTAGTTTTCCCTTGTGGTCCCTTTATGAATATACTAGAATAACCCCCAAAACCCTGTAGATTCTCCAGGACTCCTTAGGTTTCATGGATATTTGGGGGTCATTGTGCTGAAACCTCTCAGGCCCGAGCCATGAGCTACGCGGGCGCCGGGTGGAGCAACCTGCTGGCGAGCCTTTGGCGGTAAGAACTTGCTGCGGAGAAGTCGGGGTTTGAGGGGGGGGGGGGGGGTTTAGGATCCACAACCCATCGTTTCGTAGATGCGTTCGAGCTCAGATGTGCACTAAGAATGCTACAAGCCTGAAGTTCCCAAGAAAGAGGCCCTTGACCGCGTCAGAGCCTCCCTACACTCCCACACAAATCCCAAAATGTGGCTTTTACAGAACTGCGTTGGGGGAATTGTGCCACCTCTGGTGAGGCGAAGACGCCTCCTTAGGGTTTAGGGTTTAGGGTTTAGGGTTTAGGGTTTAGGGTTTAGGGTTTAGGGTTTAGGGTTTAGGGTTTAGGGTTTAGGGTTTAGGGTTTAGGGTTTAGGGTTTAGGGTTTAGGGTTTAGGGTTTAGGGTCCCTGGTTTGGAGCCCCTGGGTTTGCCTGGACTCAAGGCTTTGGGTTCAAACGTTTTAGGAGTGGGGCCCTGTCTCCCCCACAATGCGCTCCCAAAGGCTACAGTGCCAGGTTCAGGGCTTCTAGTACTTGGACAGGTTCATGGGTAGTTATACGTGGGGATAGAAGCAGGGCAACTATACGTACAACTGGCTATAACCCTTGTTTAGGGCGCGTAAGAGCTCTAATTACTACTTTTAAACCCGACGCCCTAAACCCCTTTTAACCTACTTATAACCACCCCATGAAGCACCCTAAAGCCGAAACCCTAAACCCTAAACCCTAAACCCTAAACCCTAAACCCTAAACCCTAAACCTAGGAGTGAGTGGCCAATCTTCGGGATCCTGAACCGCATACGGGAGATGCGTGGCCCAGCTGGACTTGGCTTCTAGGAAAGGGTTCAGGGTTCAGGGTTCAGGGTTCAGGGTTTAGGGTTTAGGGCAGTTTAGGGTTTAGGGTTTAGGGTTTAGGTTCAGGCTTAGGGTTTGCTACTATTTGCTTCAGAACCCCAAAAGAATAAGAACTCATGATCTGTATATTGCCCTTATGAGGAGGATTGTGTTTTATTTCTTGTCACTCTTAAGCAAAAACTGGTTTGGGGTTTGGGTTTTGAGGTTTGGGGTTTAGGGTGAGATCCCAGGGCTCTCGTGAATCATTGATGTAAGCTTGGCGCAGTCGTGCATGGCTAGTTCTCTAAAAATGGGCACCGTACCGATAGCTGCACTTGTATCGCTCTTGCTCTTGCAGAATTATCGTTGCGGTTTTTCCTGCAACTGTTATTGGGCATGTTCTGTGTCCATTGACATTGTTTTCTTCTTATGAGCCTTCTTTTAACTTGCCAAAAGGAACACTACAGTAACCTCAAGATCGACCCACATGTTTATGGACTGAGGGTTTGCGGGTTGCAAGGCTGCCAGCTCAGACACGGTGTGGAAGGGCACTTTCTGGGTTTAGGGTTTAGGGCTGTTCCACTTGCACAGTGACGAACATGAAAGACACATCAGGGCAGGACTAAGCTACCAGCACCAACTCCTGCTTTGGATTGCTGCGCGAAGAGGTGTGTGCACTCCAATTTAGCACACATAGAGTGTAAGGTCACCCTAAACCCTGAAACCCTACAAGCCAAAACCCCGAAAACCCAAAAGCCCCAAAAACAAGGCAACGGGCTTGGCTTTGTGCCCAGGGGTCAAGTCGGAAACTTCGAGCGCCTACTACAAAAGCCTTGGGCAGAGCACCACGCCCTCTCCAGTGATGGCAGCCGGGAATATTTTGAGACGGGTTAGAAATTTGAGGTTTCGTGTTCTGGTCAAGGGACTCAAGAGGGGCCCTTGTAAGAGGTTATTTAGGGGGCTACTTTGGTATATAGCGACTATGTAAGGTATACATATATATATATATATATGGTATGTATATATATATATAGGGGTTATAAAGGGGAGTCAGATTAAGGGCCCCTTCTAACATTCCCTCCTTATACCCCCCTTTATCAGGGTGCTTGTCATTAGGCTTATTGTAATTGTCATGATGTCTCGAAGCCGTAGCCGCAGCAAATAAGGTCACCCAAACGACTGGCTTTGTAACCGGTTGTTTTTCAGGGTAGCCCGCTGGGGCAGAGGGTGGCACCTGATGTCGCAGACGCATACCTGAACAATTCCCGCCAAGATTTTCAAGCAGACCTCTCCGTACCTCAGCCAAAGTGCCGCTGGACTCTGCACCCGGCTTTAAGCTGGCAAACTTGTGTTTATGGCCCGACACCACTAGAGAGAGTCCAACACGACCTCTCCGGAACGCTAAGACGAGAACACGACCTTGCTTAGAATGTTGCTGATATCTCATCCTTCCAAGACTTGAGATGTTTTGCTCATGGCTTGAGACGCTTCATAAGTTTTTGTGTGGGCAAGCTTTCCAAGCACGGAGGCGATTTCATGCGATTTCCTTGTGCAGTCATCACGTCACCCTAAACTCGAAACCCTAAACCCGATGTCACCCAGTGCACCTGTGGGTCCTATAAGGCATCCAAGGGTCTTACTAGCTGTAAGCATGGAGAGCCTATTCCCCCCAATAACTTACCTTTTTGGTAAGTGTTGTCTATGGATACTATAAGGGATACTACTCTAGCCACCTACAAGAATTTCGCAGGTTACCTAAGAATCCCAAAAAAGGGCTCCTACTGTCGTAACCTACAGAGGATGTAGGTTTTTGGGCTTCTTAAGGTAGAGCCCTAAGCTCACAAGGCCCTTGCCCAGCTCAATGCCTCCAGCTGCATGATGCGCGCCACTGCGAGGCCTGGTTTAGGGTTTGGGGTTTGGGGTTTAGGGTTTAGGGTTTGGGGTTTAGGGTTTAGGGTTAAGGGGTCCTGTTAAGGGGTTTTGATTCTAATCTTAGGTTTAAGGGGTTTGAGGTGTGCTGAGGGGTATCCCGATTTTGGTGAAATACCCATCAAGGCCCCCCCCCCTTATTACTTGTGGCAAAATGTGAGACTGTTTGTTTGTTTTTTTTCACATCCGTGCTCACCTGCTCTCTCACTGTTTGACATCAAAACTGACAGAATTACAAAAAGCCGATTGGAGATGGTCCATTGTCAGCAATGATTGGGCATCCTGTCATCTTGTTCGGTCCAAGGTGTTTAAAGGTCTTCACAGCAGCGATTCCAAGCTAAGGCTTCCAGGCTTCCGGGCTTAGGGGTGTGTGGGTTTTTGCTAGATTGTACGGACCAAGTGGCACGCATGATGTCACGCGGCATGCTCAGGGCAGCAGGCAGTACTTAGCAAGCAGGTCAGGGAGGCTCAGGCGGGCGACTGTACCGAAAAAATGTTACCTTAACAGGCAGGCCAGGGCAACTTTTCCGGAATGTTGCCTTCACAAGCAGGTCAGGGAGGCTCAGGCGAGCAACTGTGCCAGAATGTTGCCTCAAGATTCAGGGCAGGGATGCTGGGACAGGCAACTGTGCCGGAATGATGCTTCCTGAAACCCGATGCCCTGATTCCCATCACATCCCCGAATGCCCCTAAACTTCTTCGTTTTGCGTACTGTCGGCAGAATTTGTCGGTTTCTTTTTTGGGGTGCGCGAACAGTGGAGGTAACGACGCCCTCAAAATCTTACGAAGCCGCCAATTGTTGTAGGCAGAGCCCTGAGCCCTAAACCCTATCGAGGGCTTGAAGTTTTGAAGCCCGAAGCCCGAACCCCTAAACCCTAAACCTGCACTGTGGTTTCCAGGCTGCTAGGCAGGTGAGGCAGGTGGCAAACAACCCTAAACCCTAAATCCTAAACCCTAAACCCTAAACCCTAAACCCTGGGTTGAGGCGGGTGGGAAAAAAACCCTGGGTTGTTCTTGGAGGCTTCACCTCGCACTTCTGGCCGACTTTGCTCCCAGCTTCGACCAGTCCCCAGCTGCCCCTCTGGCAGCGGTTTGTTTTAGCTATAGGGTTCTTAAGGGTTTAGGGCTTAGGGCTTAGGGTTTAGGGTTTAGGGTTTCGGGGTGCCCCATACATCCCAAGAAGAGATTGACACGACCGTACCTGACCAAACTGTTCAAACGCACAAACGCACGCCCGGGACCCTGATGCATGGGCAAGCGTTGCATGTGGTGCCGAGAGGCCCTAGGGCACATGCAGGCGTGGATCATGTTGAGAAGATTGGGGGGCTCGTGAATGGCAAGTCAGATGCAGCGTGCTTTGGCGTGGTTACCTTTCCCCTGGGAACCCTGTCCTGCATTCAGCTGGTGCAGCGTCTTGTGTGCCGACTTGGCAACCTTGCTTGTGAGCGGGGCCTGCATCTACACCTGTGGCGACCTTCGCGAGTGGTGAATTTGCCTGGAGCACCACTCCCTAAACCCTGAACCCTAAAGTGAGTTCTGGACGGGGTGCCTCCTGTACAACACAACTTACTCTCATCTGAACGCCACCAAGTTCAGACCTGGGTGAACCACGCCGAGTCTGCGTTAGGACCCTCAGCCCTTCAATCCTCCGGGCCCCCGACGCACACACGCGACGAAGCTGAGGCGCAGCTGGTGGACGACGCCGAAGCCCAGGCCGTCCAATGCTTGCGGAAGCTGCAGCCACGCTTGCAAGAGTCGGCCGCCCAGCACAGGGTGTAACGTCTTCATAGGGTGGTGAAGGTATGAGAGTTGAGGGTTAAGCGTGATGGCCTCACCTGTGATGACCTGGGGGGGGAGTTCCGCTGAGACTTGAGTCCAGTGGGACAAGGCTTATTGCCCTTAGTGGAGAGGAATTAAGCATTCAGAGAACTGCCCGCATATTAAAGTCGACCAAATTCATATGGGCGTTCACGAAATATTCGGGGTATCTTATTGTCGTCCTTACTGTAAGGGAATCTTACTATTTGGGCGGTCTATATTAGGGGCCCCTAAACCTTAAACCCTAAACCCTAAACCCTTGTTCTCGGAAACCCCCATATGTTGAAGCTGATGTCCTGATGCCTTGGCTGCTGACAGCCATTTGGGCTGGAGCTTGTCGGCGAGACCACGCGTTTATCCAATCGGGCAAATCCAGTGCAGGTTTGAGGGTTGGGGTTTCCGAGACCTGGATGCAAAAGGCTTGTCATAATAGATGCAAAAGGCTTGTCAGAATACACTCCCTTACAGCCCAACCTTTGCGGCGCATGTTCAAGTCCTCGCCCTAAGAGCATTGCAGGAGGGTCCCCACAAGTTCTCCCCCATCATGGCCTTGGGGACCAATTGAACCCTAAAATTGGCGGGCCATATTACCCTTATACTACTAGAATCCCTATTAAGGTGTTTGAACCATAAACCCTTTCAGGGTTCATTTGGTCCCCATCATGGAGTAATCATCTAGGCCCAGACATACGCTTGCCAGTAGCAGCCATGTCTTGGCCTGCGGCGCGCACTCCGAGATGTTGGTGGCTCACTAGTGGCAGCTGGCAGATTTTGTGCTTTTTTGGGGCGAGCAGCTCCCCGAAACCCGAAACCCTAAACCCTAAACCCTGAACCCTAAACCCTAAACCCTAAACCTCGGGGTCGTCCCTGCGATGCGGATTCGCCCCAGCTGTGCAGGAAGGAAAGCAACCTTAAACCCTCTGAGCGGATGCTCTGTGTAGCCCTCTCAAAATGGGTGGCGGCTTACTTTCAGCATTTGGGGTTGAAGAGATAGAGTTCTCCGAAAGAAGTCTTGCAGTGGCACGAAAGCCTGAAAACTACAACAAGAAAAAGTAACGCCAACTAGATCACAATGACAACACATATAAAAAAAAAACAGCCATGAATAGTAGTAAAGACATCAATAACCAGCAAGACATGTTAACTACGAATGAACAATACGTAGTTTCTGCGGCCGCATGAGGAGTAGCACACATCCCCTACACCCCAGAATCTGCACACTGAACTCTGAACAGAGCCTGCTTGTGCTCATGTGAGTTTTGAAGCCCTAAACCCTAAGCCCCCTAAACCCCTAAACCCTAAACCCGGGGCCAAGAGAGGTGTGGGCTTATAGCCTGTGCACTCCTTCTCGGTCACGCCTCGGCCCAGGTGCATGCTTTTGGCGTTGGGGAGCTTAGGGTTTTGGGGTTTGGGGTTTTGGGTTTAGGAATTAGGCTTTAGGGTTTAGGGTTTAGGGTGGGTCGGTGGATGTTAAGGCTTTGGGTCAGGGCCTTTCCGACATGGTATGTCAGCGGACTTGCAATTGAGTTGTCCAACCATGTTTCAAACTGCTTCGCCTGATGCTGTTGGCCAGGTGGTTAAAGGAGCCGGCTGAGCATCATGAGGTTAATGTGTGGGCCTTCTGCTTAGAAGCCTGGAAGGTTGTGCCTGCTGCTCTGTGCAACAGCACCCATCCGATCCTTTGCCGAAGAAAGGTAGGGATCCGAACGTACATGCAAGAGTCTTGACTCCGTAAACCCTAAACCCTGAACCCTGAACCCTGAACCCTGAACCCTGAACCCTGAACCCTAAACCCTAACCCAACTGTTACCATCCAAAGGGCTGTTTGCGGTGAAGGCCGAAGCTTTGGGATACCTTGCATTTGATCGACTGGTGTGCTTTGCGGGGCTTGAAGGGGCCATGCCAGTGCCCTCCTCCGAGAGCCAGCGCACGAAACCCGAAACCCTACATCGGCATGTTTAGGGCTTAGGGTTTAGGGTTTAGGGTTTAGGGTTGAGGGGGTTGGTGAGGGTTTATGGGATGATGCTGTTGCGCCCCCCACTTGCTATGGCACGAGTCCATGGTAGCTTGAGGCACCTAACGGAGTCCTCTGGCTTAGGGCTTAGAGCTTTGGGCTTATGGTTTAGTTTAGGGCTTAGGGCTTAGAGCTTAGGGCTTAGGGCTTAGGGCTTAGGCCTTAGGGCTTAGGGTTTAGGGTTTAGTGTTTAGGGTCAAAAGGGATGAAGCTGCGACTCCGGGTTGGTGTGGCTAAGGAACCTGGCAGAGGAGGAGGGGAACATGGCTGTCCAGGCGATGCTGCCCATCTCCGTGGCTTTTGTGCGGCTCGGATTGGGCTGTCTTGTAAGGACTTACTAGGCGGGCCGCTGGGATGTTTTATATTTTCTCTTATTGGGCTTCAGGAATACTTTTCAGAGGGTCTTAGGGGCCATCCTAGCTTAGGTCGGTATATGTGTTCAGGGGCCCCTGAACACTGGAAGCGTTTGCTCTCTTTACGTGTGGGGATGTGAAAACGGGCAACTGCCCAACAACAGGTCGCATCTCGCTGTTTTCAGAGATGACTCTTTGGGCTAAGATGGTTGGTGGGGTATTCCGGGTGGCAGCAGGTCATCCTCGGGCAACACCATGACTGAAGGCGGCCGCCCAAGAAGGCCTTTGAAGAAGCTTACAGCCCAAATAAAAGCCAAAGACTCCGAGTAATTTTTGGAATCGAAGATTCCCAGGCTTTGCCTCATGCTGTCCTCCTCCATGGAGTCCTTCAACATAACCTGGCTGCCCGAGTCGGGCGTGGTCATCCTCATCGGCACCTTGGGCTCTCAGCGCGCTCTCGGCGGCTTCGGGCTGGGTTTCGTACCGGGGGTGTGCAGGTTGGCGACGCTGTTATAGTGGATGCAGAAGCCTAGGGACTGGGCAGGTAACCTTTAACCTTTTTTGGTTAATTATATAGACTCCTACCATTTATATGAAGATCTTGATATGTGTATATATGTATATATATATATACATATAATATATATATATATGTTGAAATAAGGTTAACCTCTTTTGGGGCTAGGATATTCAGGCCCTAAGAAGCTCTCGGTCTCGTTTGGCAGAAGTCTGGAGCCGAGCCAACGTATCGCCCTTCATCTTCAGGCTCGTCCCCTCGATTCTCCAGAGGGTGGGAGAAGGGTCGAATTAGGGTTTAGGGTTTAGGGTTTAGGGTTTAGGATCTGCTCAGGGATGCTTCATGAATAGGGCCTTGTATCCCACGCCGCCCACCTGTCCAAGGTAAATTACATTGGTCCTTTAAAATGGCTTACCTTGCCTTCCTTAAGCGGTTTTCCGAAAAATGGGCCCTAAACCCTAAACCCGAAACCCTAAACCCTAAACCCTAGGACCATGTAGCGACCTCAAGAAATCCAACCCCTTACCTCAGGCCAAGCTTCCACCAGCTCCGCATGAAGACCCAAGACCATCCCAAAGCCGGAGCCCTAAAGCCTCAACCCGAAACCCTAAACCCTAAACCCTATAAACCCTAAACCCTAAACCCTACACACGTCTGAGGCCTTGGCCTGGGCGCCATCTTCATGGTCCACTTCGGGGAAGCTGGCTTTGGGACCGGGCCACTTGTGTTGCGGCTGAGGGTTGGGGGTTTCGGGCTTAGGGCCCCCTTGTTTAGGGTTGTTTAGGGTTTAGGGTTTAGGGTTTAGGGGGATCAAGACCAAGGGAACATCACAAGCTTTAGTAGGGTTCTGATCCAAGCAACCAGACAAATCCAGAAATCCCTGCCCAGATGCAAATTTAAAAGCGAGAGCTCAGAGCTCTTCCAATTATTTTACTTCGAACATCACCACCTTGCTCCTCGTTTAAAGGAAGGAGCGCAAATAAGATGTTCAAACAAAGACACATTGATTCAAATACGCTTTCTTAGTTTTTGCTTGCAATTGGGGTTGGGCACTCCAGGGAGACTCTGGGGTTGGGCACTCCAGGGTTGGGCACTCCAGGGAGTCTCTGGGGTTGGGCACTCCAGGCAGTCTCTGGGGTTGGACTCCTGGGAGTCTCTAGGAGTAGACCGGGCGAGGAGAAGAGTTCGGGGCGAGGAGAAGAGTTCCGGGCGAGGAGAAGAGTTGAGTTTAACATCTAACAACCCCACACCGAAGGTGGGGAAGAACCGGGGCGTAGCCTTTCCGGCACCCAAGCCTCCCTCTTAGGGTCTGGCAGCCCTTGGGCCTCAAAGCGGAAAGCCTCTTAACTGCCCTCAGGAGGTCCCAGAAGCTCCGAGAAGTCCCACTATCCCTGCAACCGGGTCGGGTTTAGGTTTTCGGGTTTAGGGTTTAGGGTTAGGGTTTAGGGTTTAGGGTTTTGGGTTTTGGGTTTAGGGTTTTGGGTTTAGGGTTTAGGGCGAGGGGGCATGTGCGACCGGACTCATTGGGAGGGGGTGGGAGTTGGGCTGACGTCCGACCCCTGAATGAAGTCATCCAACACAACTCTAAACTTCAACGCTAGACTCACCTGGAGCTCCGCAAAACGAATTCCCCTCCAACTCCAACCCTAAACCCTAAACCCTACACCCTAAACCCTAGGTTTAACCCTAAACCCTAAACCCTAAACCCTAAACCCTAAACCCTAAACCCTAAACCCTAAACCCTAAACCCTAAACCCTAAACCCTAAACCCTAAACCCTAAACCCTAAACCCAGACAGGACAGAGCGACCCTCAAGTTCAATCGCACCCAAGGTCTGTGATCCCTGTGGTGGGACCGCCAGCTGTGAAGTATGCCTTCCTGCCGAGCCCCTTTCAGACTTAGCAGAGTAGGGTTTAGGGTTTGGGGTTTGGGGTTTGGGGTTTGGGGTTTGGGGTTTGTAGGTAGCCGTTAACCTTTTGGGGTAATATAATCCCGTTATATTCCCAAAGGTTCAGTTTTCGTTCCCCTAGGGTCTGGACAACGAAGCAGACGAGCTAGGGTTCGGGGTCCCTGAACCCTAAACGCTCAGGGTTTATAGGGTGGATGGACCCTAATCGCCAAAGACTGGGTGTTCTTGTCGCGGGGGGGGGGGGGGGGGGGGGGGGGGTCCACGATGTCCGCTTGAAGGTACGTGTTGGGATTTAAGTGGATGGTTTGCTGTTGGCAGATTCTCTAGCACCCCGGCAAGATACCTTGTTGCTGAGGATAAGTGCGTTTGGAGTGGAACCCTCATAGATCCAAGAGCCTCGCCCGCGTCTGCTGGCATGAGAGTCGAAACCCTAAGCCCTGGTCAGATAGAAACAGTGGGTTGCGAAGCATGGTTGGTTAACGGCGTCGTCCTTTCTTCGTTGTTCCCTAGGCAGGTGGCAGAAACCTTAAGCCAAAAAAAAACAAAAACTACAACCAAAACAAACCGAAATCAAAAAAGTAGCAAAAACAAAAACAAACCTAGAACCGCCCCAAGAAAGACCAACACCAAAAAAAAAAAAACTAAACCCAAAAGACTCCGAGCTCAGGATCATCATCTTCGAGTCCGGCTGGACACTCCGCTGGAAGGACTTCGCCTCGCAATTGGGCTACATCCTCGTCTTCGCAATCCTAGGACTGGGGGGGTTTAGGGTTTAGGGTTTGGCCGCTTCAGGCATGTAAGAGAGTCTTGTGGCAAAAGGGTTTAGGGTTTATGATGCAGGGGGGGTGGAGGGGTGGCTTAAGGTTGTTGGGGATCATAAGGGTCTAGGGTTCAGGTAATGGGGATTTCGGGGTTTACTTCAATGGGCTTCGCAATCCTCGGACGGGGGGGGGGGGGGGGGGGCTGTCGGGATTTAGGGATTTAGGGTTCAGGATTTCAGGATTGGGGGTTCAGGGATTCAGGGTTTAGGGTTTGAAGGTTTAGGGATTTAGGGTTTAGGGGCTTCGGGATGAGGTTTGGTTCAGGGTTTAGAGATTTAGACCTTAGGGACTTCGGGACTTAGGGTTTCGGGCTGAGGGCTTGAGGAATTTTGGGATTCGGGATTTAGGCTGTAGGGATTTAGGGTTTCGGGTTCTGGGTTCATGCATCAAGAGTCATTCGGGATGCTATCGCGTTGATGGCTCGTGTACTCAGCGCGGCTTCGCCAGGCTCCGTTATCTCCATGGTGGTGGTGGCCGAGCTGATCCTGGCTACCAGTGACTACCACTCCATCCAGAACCGCCGGACAGCCTTTGCATATGGCTCGTTGATCCTTGGCTTGTGTTAAGGGGTATAAGGAGGGACCCCTAGAAGGGCCCCGTAATCTTTCTCCCCCTACAATAACCCCCAAAGAACCCCTAAGGTCCCTTAGAAGGGTCCCTCCTTTGGTCCCTTGAGTTGGGCTCAAGCGTTGCCCTTGCTTCGGCTTACAAGGGTTTCTAGAAATTTCAAGCATTTCAAGCTTTTCAACCGCAAGGCCTGTGGGCCGGCAACAGTTGTCACGGCCCCAACACGTCTTGACGAGTTTGGTTCCAGCCGCCCTGACACACTCCCCCCCCTCTCCAAATCCTGAACCCTATAAGCCACCCCACCAACCCCAATTATACAGGAACCCTAAGGGACTACCATCAGTATTTATTCCGACCCCTTTTCTTAGACTTGTTTCCCAGGATTGCAGCGACCGACCCGGTCGCAACGCTGGCCACCTACGCAAGCCTCAAAGTCGAGCCGGCGCCTGCGGCGCAGATTCCATGGCTGGCTTTCTTCTTGTGGGGGAATTAAAACCAAAAAAATAAAGGGATTCCGGGGCTCTTGATGATGATGATGATGATGATGATGATGATGATGATGATGATGATGATGATGATGATGATAAGATCTATGGTTTTTTGAGGGGGGGTTCAAGACCGTAAAACATGCAACTCTGGGGTGGATGCTTAGCTTGCGTCCCCAAGTCCTGAACCTCACCGGGTTGATGTTGGAGCTTAGGGTTTAGGGTTTAGGGGGGGCTAGGGTTTAGGGTTCAGGGTTGAGGAACTTATAAATGAAGTGGCCGTTCCTTCAAGTGTTGCGAAGTGGAGAGCATGAGGCCTTCTGCAGGAAACCATCACCCTAAAACACCAACTTGTCGGTGTCCAAGAGTCGTTGTCGCAGGCGTACCTCCTGCCCTGGCCTGTCCTGTATGGGAATACTCAACAAAACCGTATACCCTAAACCATTAAAGCCTAAACCCCAAACCCTAAACCCTAAACCGAAAACCCTAAACCCTAAACCCCAATCTAGAGCAGCCACCTTGTGATCCCTTGATCCCTTAAAAAATGGAGCCTCGTAGGCTTCGAAACTTCGAAGCCCTGCAACAGTTACGCAGTTGCTGGACCCTACAGTGATATGGGGGTGTTTACGAAAATCAGGGACGCCTAATATAGAATCCCAAATAGTAGGGTATGCCCTCATACTAAGGACCCCAAGAAAGGCACCCCTTAATTTCGGAAACCCCCCATATGGCGAATGGCCGAAAATAAACCCTTAACCCTAAACCGCTGAGCCTTAGGTGCTGAATGTCATGGTCTTTGGGGAGCCGCTTGGACTGGCTGTCCAGGGAAAGTCGCGGTCTCAATGACGTGTTGGGGCTGTTGAAGCTTGGGGCTTGGATATTTAGGGGCTTACTTGCCGGTTCATGGGTACTTAATGGCCCAATGTTAGAACTGCACTGATAACCCAAAGATAAGCCACTTCTTAGGGTGAAGAGCTCCCCCCGCCCTTGCAGCAAGAGAAGGGCTGAAAGAGCCCTACTCATGGGATCGGATCGGTGTGTAGAGGAGGAGATGGAGACACGATGAGAATGCATGCAGCAAGTCAGAGCTACATTCGTCAAACAGATGTCTTCTCGGAGTTAAAGAGAGGTGGGATAATGGGGGCGGGCTATCCAACGGCCACATGAGCAGGTCCATGATCAACGACGCTGTTGCCATTGTCATCTTCGAGATTCTGAACAGTAACAAGATCATGGGCAACCCATGTCACCCGGTCACCCAGCAATCCATCTCGCTGGCCCCCTGGCTGTCCCACCAGCTCCGGGTTTGGCAATCTTGGGAGTTGAAAACAAGTTCAAGGACTTCAGGATCAGTCGGAGAAGTGTGCAGCGTGGGAATCATACTAACGCTGCAGAAAGGCGGTGACAGTGGGCATCTTTCAGAAGTTGGCAATCTCCATCAGCCTCGGTCTGGCGTCGGCGATGGTCCTGATTCTGGGGCTCCGCTTCGTGCGCTGGCCAAGGAGTCCACATGTTCGGTTTTCCCGAAGCCCTACAAGCTGGGTCATTTCCTGGTGATCTTAGTGGCCTTCCCCTACCATACTGTAATATCTGTATAGTATATAGATATGTATACAATATGCATGTATGTATGTACGTATTTGCATTATATATATATATATATGTATATATGATTTTTTGTACCCACACATGTTTGCGGATGGAGAGGCAGAGTTCAACCGAGGCAAGCCTGAAGCACTCTCAACTCATGGAGATCCTCTACATCATGGTGTCGGCTTACGTGATCTACGCCGTGGCGGAAAAGCTGCACTCCTCCGGAATCATCGCCACGCTGTTCGGCTCCATGCTCATGGGCATCTACGCGACCCTTGCCTAGAATGCAGCAGCGCAGAAATGAATCCACAAACTGAGTTAGTGTGCCCAGAGATTTTCTTGCCTTGTGTGTGTGACAGAGCGAGAGAGGGAGACTGTGTGTGAGAGGCAAGTCACGTAGCCTCTGTTTGACCGCGAGTGAGTGAGTTAGTCACCCAAGACGTTATTTAGGCTCTCGGGCTTGCATTATATGGTTTATATATATATATATATATATGCTACCCCCCCCCCCCCCCCCCCCGTAGCGCCTAGGTTTTACTTAAAAAAGAGTGTGTTTTTCGTAGGATTTACTAAAAAACGTGTTTTTTGAATCGCATAATGGAGGATACTGCCCAACACATAGGCGACAGACGCAGCAAGCAGTGCAACACAGCGTGCGACGGAATCATGTTACACGTGTTTTTGCTTCTGTGCTAGAAAAGACAGGCCTGTAATTAAACTTGTTCATACACTACATTAATTAAAACACAATGCGTAATAGGGAACCTGACCTAGTGGCTTCACTTAAGCATTCATTGAATGAGCTAAAACATGTTCCTTCTTCTTTTCGTGAACAAGCACAGTACTTAATTTAACTAAAGTTTTTCGGTTCTGGAAAATAACATACGTACAGTCTTTCCAACAGTTTGATTAGTCTCCTGAAGGTGTTTTTGCTTCTGTGCTAGAAAAGACAGGCCTGTAATTAAACTTGTTCATACACTACATTAATCACAACATAATGCGTAATAGGGAACCTGACCTAATGGCTTCACTTAAGCATTCATTGAATGAGCTAAAACATGTTACTTCTTCTTTTCGTGAACAAGCACAGTACTTAATTTAACTAAAGTTTTTCGTTTCTGGAAAATAACATACGTAAAGTCTTTCCAACAATTTGATTAGTCTTCTGAAGGGTTAAGTAAATAAACTGAGTTCGTAGACCAATAATTAACTAAAGGAATTCAATGAACTAAACTTACTAAGAACAGTAACTACGGCCTTTTGTTTGCTGATATTAATGTAGTCAAAATCATTTCAATTGTGGATTTAGTTTACTTAAAGGTGAAGCAAATGAATGAAACTAATTAGTATACCCTTAACTAAACGAATTCGATAATTTAAATTAAACAAGCCACGATCCTTAACAACAATTCAATTGGTTCAGCCTGACTAGACTAATTACTTTAAACGAATACTTTAATAGGCCTTCCCAAGAAACAACTACATTTAGTTTCTTATTCTAAGAGGTAGACAGCATTCAACTAACTAAATGTCTATCCTTTTTTTACTTCAACCTCAACCAGACTAAATGAATGACAGTTGTAAAGCAAATTAGATTAATTAAAGCCTACTTATCAGGAAACTTGACCTCGTCGCGTCATTTAGGCATTACATCGATTAGACAAAATGTTACTTACATCACAGTTTTTAACAAATAGTTGAATTAGCTTTATTGCTGCTGAACTGTGCTCTCTGAACAAACAAAAACCAATTCTGGAGGCCTATAATTACAAGGCAGGCCGTCACGAAAAGATTGGTTTTTAGGGACAGTACAGCACTTTGGGGATCTGAAGGGCTGAAAGTGCTGTACTGTCCCTAACAAAGCAATCCCAGAAGCGGAAAACGCTGTACTGTCCCTAAAAAACCTAAAAAACCAATTCTGGGGACCTGTACAGGCAGCCCCTCTTCAAAAGATTGGTTTTTTAGGGACAGCACAGCACTTTCAGCACCTCAGACCCTCAAAGTGCTGTACTGTCCCTAAAAAACCAATCCCATAAACATAAAGTGCCGTACTGTCCCTAAAAAACCTAAAAAACCAATTCTGGAGGCCTATACAGGTAGACCCTCACGAAAAGATTGGTTTTTTAGGGACAGTACAGCACTTTCAGCACCTCAGGCCTTCAAAGTGCCGCACTGTCCCTAAAAAATCAATCCCAGAAGCAGAAAGTGCCGTACTGTCCCTAAAAAACCTAAAAAACCAATTCTGGAGGCCTATACAGGTAGACAATCACGAAAAGATTGGTTTTTTAGGGACAGTACAGCACTTTCAGCACCTCAGGCCTTCAAAGTGCCGTACTGTCCCTAAAAAACCAATCCCAGAAGCAGAAAGTGCTGTACTGTCCCTAAAAACCTAAAAAACCAATTCTGGAGGCCTATACAGGTAGACCCTCACGAAAAGATTGGTTTTTTAGGGACAGTACAGCACTTTCAGCACCTCAGGCCTTCAAAGTGCCGCACTGTCCCTAAAAAACCAATCTTTGGAAGAGGGCCTGTCTGTATAGGCCACCAGAATTGGTTTTTTAGGTTTTTTAGGGACAGTACGGCACTTTCTGCTTCTGGGATTGGTTTTTTAGGGACAGTACAGCACTTTCAGCACCTCAGGCCTTCAAAGTGCCGTACTGTCCCTAAAAAACCAATCTTTGGAAGAGGGCCTGTCTGTATAGGCCACCAGAATTGGTTTTTTAGGTTTTTTAGGGACAGTACAGCACTTTCTGCTTTTGGGATTGGTTTTTTAGGGACAGTACAGCACTTTCAGCACCTCAGGCCTTCGAAGTGCCGTACTGTCCCAAAAAAAATCTTTTGAGGAGAGCCTGTCTTGATAGGCCTCCAGAATTGGTTTTTTAGGTTTTTTAGGGACAGTACAGCACTTTCAGCTTCTGGGATTGGTTTTTTCGGGACAGTACAGCACTTTCACTCCTAAACCCTAAACCCTACAAGAGGCAAGTCATCTGAGGCCGGTACCTGAGACAGGGAAGAAAATGAGACCTAGGTACTTGGGGGGGGGGTACCATATATATATATATATATATACAGATACACATATATCTTATACAGAGAGAGAGAGAGAGAGAGAGAGTGCGAGAGGCACACAGATGGGGTTCTGCACAAACAACTGCTTTGCGGACCCTGGAGTCCTCCAAGCCCCAAGGAAACCACACCTGTCAGATGAGGGAAACCTGCTGGCCACTTTCTTCGTGAAAGGTGGGCGGTGATTGTGGGATGGTGCTTTTTTGGAGCTGAGGAGCTGATTGTCCAGGAACACCCCGCTGCTTCGCTGGAGTCAAAGTTATGAATTAGATGCTTCCTGACAGGTATGGCAACTCTTGCAGACACCTTCACGTGTCTTGGCTTTAGCAGTTCATCGAGTCTACGCGTCAAAAGTTAACAGCAAGGGCATGCTTCTTCAACTGCACTGACACGTGGGGCTCTTGATGGCCGGGAGTACGACACCAAGCTTTTCACGAGTGAACTGGTTCTGCCAACCCCTCGGTTTCCCTGGGCCTGAACACCCATGGTAGATCCGACAGACTTCAGTCCAAGGACCACACGTGGCCCTAAAAGGCCCAAAGCTAAGGCCGCAAGCCCGCATCCTGCAAATCTGCTGTCTAGCACCGTAAACGTCCACGCAAAGATGCTGCCTAAACCCTGAACCCCAACCCTATAAACCCTAAACCCTAAAAGCCTAAAGAAGAATGCCTGTCATGCCCGTGACCGTTCATGCCAACGCCACGTTTGTCTCAAGCCCCCAAAGCCCACAAATCCCAAATCCTCGACTCCAGACAACTATATCTGCGTAAGAATCCCGCAAAAAGTAAACAATATACATATATATGTATATATATATATATATAGAAGGCCGCTTTTTCCCATGCTAGTCATATATATATATATATGTATAGATATATATTCTTCCTCGTACGGGCCATATTGGGGGGCCATATTGGGATTAGTATCTTTAAGTTTTTGGGGCTTCTTCAGCAAATAGTAGTTAGTAGACAAGCGCCCCGCCCTGAACCACAGAAATGCCTACCCTAAATATCAAGAAGTCCAAACCTCTGGCCTTAAATGTTCATTACACGGTTTGAGACTGTATGCTCTTGTTTCTTGAGCCCTAAACCCGAAACCCTATACCCTAAACCCTAAACCAGAAACCTGCCCAGCCCTAGGTTTCTGATCGTGGGCGTCGGGGCTGTGGCCGTAACCCAGGAACGATCCAGCTTCAAGCAACCCGGCGTGGTTGCCGGGGGCTTTGCAAGGCTTACGTAAGGAAGGCTTTTGATACAGCTCCTACCGTACCGGGTTGTAGGGTTCAAGTTTGGGTTTTCTTCCCCATGGCCCAGCCAAGCAGTGTGGTAACATTACGGGGTGAATTCACAAAGGGGTGAAAACGTTTAGGATAAGGAGAGTGAGGTTGAGATAGATGCCCACACTGTCGGGATTCGGGGGTCGTTTTCGCTGCAAGAACCACACCAAGGAGTCCAAATCGTGCTCCTAAATCGATGCCGTGAGGTGGTTGAGGCATATCGTGAAAACGAGACAGGGACGTCCTTCACGTGCGATGCGCTCATGGCGGGGATTTTGGAGGTGCTCGAAGTGGATGCTGTCGCCTTGGTACCGTGCGCATACTTGCTTCTGGGCGCTTGGATGGCCTGCAAGTATGCCGTCGTGGCCTTGCGCTGTTTGGGCTGTTCCTACGCGGTTCAGCCTGTTGTCCACTAGCTCCGGCTATGCGGGAGCCAAATAAACCCCCCAAATGGCAGAAACAAACAGATCCTTGAAAGCGTCCGGGAAAAACCCCAAACAAAAACTTGCAAGCCCTAAGCCCTACAGGCCCTAAACCCTAAACCTGCCATTGTTCGAGCGCTAGCGTCGAAACCCAGAACTTGCGTTCCCCATAGGGGTTGACGCATCCCCGGGCCCGAGGAACAAAGGGTCCAGTGCGAAGGGAGAGAGGCAGAGGCGGAGAGCCAGGTCGGCTTGTGGTTCCGGTGTTTAGGGTTTTGGGTTTTGGGTTTTCCATCCAGAAGGCTGCCACAGACACAACTTTGGGGGAAGTCTTCAACCAGAAACACCTCCTTTTGTGTTCTTCCAGAGGCCACATCACGCCGGCACCAAGGTTTAGCCTTTGGGTCATGCTCTTCTGCATCGTCGGTGCCTTGCAATAGATTCAGCAATGACCTTGAGCATCTCCCTCCTTAGATCCACGAAGATAGAGCAGACCACCCATATCATGCTGAAGGAATCGAACCATCAGGTCCGTGCAACGTGAAATCGGAGAGACTGCTCTTTAGACGAAGTGTTTGGGCTCGGTGAAGATTCAGCAGGGTGGTCGATGTACTAGGAAGTTCCTCTAGACCTAAACCTCCAGGCCGTATGGCTGCCGTGATACCTTGTGGTGGCATCGTCAACGCTGCAAAGACTGCAATCGGTCGGCACAACAAGGCCAGGGCTAGCTGCGTAAACCCTCTTGAATCCTACCGCAAAACAAGACCTCCAAAACTGGGCTTGCTTGTAGGTTACCGAAAGAACTTCTAAGTTGGGCGAACTTCGAAACTCAAAGCTCTCGAGTCCCCAACTCCTTCGATGCAATCTAACAGACCCAAAATCTTCAGTCTTCGTAACCCCGTCCACATGGAACCTTGCACCCCTTATACTAACAGTCCTTAGTAGGGATTATAATTTGGGGGGGGGGGGGGGGGGGGGTACAAAAATCCTTGTTAAGGAGCTGTTAGTATAAGCGGGAACATCCCTTAAATGGAGCCCTATTAAAGGATTCGAAGTCCCGGTTCCTCTCGGAGGCCCCTCGCCAAGACTGGTTCCTCTTATCCTGGCAGCATCTCTTCATGATGTGGCACGCCGGCCTGCGAGGCAACGTGTGGGACAGGTGGGTCCTTATAAGACTTTTTGGGCTCTATTCTTTGGGGTTTAGGGTTAGGGGGGCGGGTGTCTGGTAGTCAGCAAGGGGGGCTTTGTAATTTGAAAGGATAGGGTTTGGGAGCCTCAGGGCCCCAGCGCAGCTCTTGCACCTCCTGCTTCTGCTGTTTACTTCGTGTTCTGCAACCTCCAGACACCCCCACCCAACGCCCTAAACCTTAAATCCCCCTTAACTTTCCTTTCGGGACTTCCGAGACAGGCAGAGCTTGCACGCTTGCTCATTTTGCTTGAGGTCATGTCGTATGTTTTTTTGATTTTGGTGATTCCGATAATGATGACCATTGTATTTTCGGATATGTTGGAGGTAGATATAACCCTGAACTCCCTAAACCCTTAACTCCCTAAACCCTAAACCTAAACTCCCTAAACCCTAAACTCCCAAGTCCCGACACTCCATAAGCTCCCTAAACTCATGAACCCTAAACCCTAAACCCTAAACCCTAAACCCTAAACCCTAAACCCTAAACCCTACACTCCCTAAACTCCCCAAACTCCCCAGACCCAGAATATGACTCCCATGGCCATGGCCATGCCCTGACTTAGGAGCCATCGCGCTGGTTCTCTGTTGGGAGCTGGGAGCATCCTGACTGCTCTTGAGATGGGTTTAGGGTTTAGGGTTTAAAGGTTTAAAGGTTTAAAGGTTTAAAGGTTTAAAGGTTTAAAGGTTTAAAGGTTTAAAGGTTTAAAGGTTTAAAGGTTTAAAGGTTTAAAGGTTTAAAGGTTTAAAGGTTTAAAGGTTTAAAGGTTTAAAGGTTTAAAGGTTTAAAGGTTTAAAGGTTTAAAAGGTTTAAAGGTTTAAAGGTTTAAAGGTTTAAAGGTTTAAAGGTTTAAAGGTTTAAAGGTTTAAAGGTTTAAAGGTTTAAAGGTTTAAAGGTTTAAAGGTTTAGGGTTTAAGGTCTAGCTTCGGTCTTTTCCCGGTATGCTGGATATGCGAACCCTGAGCCCTCATACTCAGACCCCAGCCGCGACGGGCCCTGCATCCTAACAACCAGAAGTCCCCTCTCGGTTCCAAAAACTCAGACCTTGAACCCTAAACCAGAACTCCCTCCCCCCCCTTCCTAGAGCCTTAGCCCTTAACCCTACACGGTCATCATGTGGGGCTTGTCTTTAGGAGGGTTCTAAACACCTAAGCAGATCCTAGGTGGGACACTTTACATTTGCCCTTATTGGGTTGGTCCCCCTGGCCTATATATATATCTACCCTCATAGGATACAATCGTCCGTGTCACGTTTAGGAATGTGACTCGCTTCAGGTTTTGTTTCCTGTGTGTTTCTGCTTTCTTGCCTTCTAGAGAACACGGAACCTCTAGGCTCGAACCATCCAGGCATCCTGACGCTAGAAGCACTACCGGAAAACTGGGAGCGCTTGTAGAGTCCGTGCCTGCTGCCGTACTCTACGGTTGTTCGAGTCTAGAGGTAGAAACAGAAACGAGCCCTAAACCCTAAACCCTAAACCCTAAACCCAGAGGGTTTTAGGCATGGGCCATCCTGGGAGTCCTATAAAACGCGAGAATCCCAAGATGCAAGACCAAGCAAGAAGGACTGGGTGGATGAGCTGGAAGGCCCAGGGACCAAAGAGACGCCCGGCAGCGGAGACTCGCAAGCTTCCCCCCTGCTACGCTTGGGGTTTAGGGCTCCGGGTTTTGGGTTTAGGATGTAGGGTTTAGGGTTTAGGGAAGCTTGTGTGAGACCTTGCTTCCGAACCTATATGCGTAAGCTTTCGCCACAGCGTCAAGGCTGACGACAGGCAGCCACATCATCCCTCCCGATGCGGGGGTGCCTAGATTTTAGTATCCTGTCATTTGTCACTGGTAGCCTTGCCCTGTAGCCAGGAGCCCCCTGCACACTGAGACGCCCTGAGTTTTTTCTCAGAAGTCCCATCGCAAGGATCCTGATCACCAGCACCCTCGTGGTCATCTGCGTCTTCCTGCTGGCCTTCGGGGGCACGACGCAGGGCATGTTGCGGTGCTTGAAGATACGGATGGGAGAGGACTGCCTTTTGCAGAATAGGGTTTAGGCTATAGGTTCAGGCTTTAGGCTTTAGGCTTTAAAGGTTAAAGGCTTTAGGCTTTAGGCTCAGGGCCGCAAAGAACTCAGTAGCCAACTCTTTGCGTTGAGGACATGCCCGAGAACCTCTTGGCTGGAAATACCATGCTCCTTACTTGCAACTACCTCACTAGACCTGAAACCCTAAACCGCCAGATTCACCAATGTCCGTGCACGAGCTTCAGTGAGTTTCATTGAGCTTGGGGGAGCTTCAGATCTGGAGATTGTTGACTTACAGGTCTTGCTGCATCTGAGAAACTTCAGTGATTCAGGCTGGTAGAAGGCTTTAGAGTCGTTTGGAAACTCTGGCAACACAAGCCGTGGATTTGGACCCGCAAGCACTTGAAACTTTCGGAACACTCACCGCAGTACTTCTGAGGGCGTATCGCACCTTTCGCACCTTCTATGCCCCCTGGTAAGACCTCTTACTTTGGGAGAGAACATCCCACGCCTGTATTAATCCCCTCCCTTCAATATTTAAGCCCCCCACCTCCCCACTCAACTGCTATTTATGGAAAAGTTGCAACCCTAAACCGACCTGCAGGCTCAGCTGCGCACGGAAGTGCGGCCATGCCATTGATGGCCGGCTGCTATGGCCTTGCTTGGCCGCTCGACTTCTTCTCAGACCCCTACCCCTCAGTCAAAAAACTCTGAGGCTCCTTGTAATGTGGTTAGGGTGTCTTCTGAGTGGCTAAACCACTTCATGCAAAGTTCGGACCCCACAGGGTCTGAACGTGTAGTTTCTCCTGGAAGTGCAGCACCTGTCAACGTTCAGGTATTTCGGGTTGAGGGCTTGGGGTGATACTGTATCCCCCTTGGGAATTATTTTTCATATAAAACCCACGAGGATATTGAACATATTATTTTGGGGGAGTGTAGGATACGCGAAGGGGGGGGTTAAGATGCAAAAGGGTGATCTTGCAGCGTCACGGCATTGGCCAAGGCCTTGTCGCTTGGTCAGCTCAGACGGGCTAGCGCTCATACTTCAGGATTATTGGAGATCTTCGTTTGCACTGACGTTTCATTTGTGTATACAGATAGAGAGAGAGAGAGAAAAAACAAAAAAAGAACGAGACAGAGAGAGAGAGAGAGAGTGTGTGTGTGGGTAACTGTGAGATACAGGGCGCGTCTGTCCACAAGCACTCCAAGACGGCTCTGCCTGTGGTGTTGATGACAATGGATCCCCCCCCCCAACTTGGAGTAGCTGCTTGAGAACCTGCTGAACCTAAACCCTAAACCCTAAACCCTAAACCCTAAACCCTACTTACAAAGCTCCATGGGCTTCTAAGTGCAGGTGGGTGGGCCCAATACCAAGGATGCCACCTTGGAGGACCAAGTGCATGACTTGGAGTTGACATATCTATTGAAATTGGTGGTTTAGGGTTTAGGGTTTAGGGTTTAGGGTTTAGGGTTTAGGGTTCAGGGTTTAGGGTGTAGGGTGTAGGGTTTAGGGTTTAGGGTTTAGGGTTCCCCATATTCAGCAGTACATGGGGAACATGTTTTCCCCACAGCAGGTTTCGTGGTTGACGCTGAAAGGGCGTCGCGGTGAGTGACCTCGGTACCTGGCTGAACTTGGCCCATACTATAGCCCCTTAGGAATGATTTTAAGGTTGTATTTACGTAAAACCCACGAGAAGAATAACAATATCGCTGTTATTAAGGTTCTAAGGGGAGTATCCGCTTCTCCATGGTCCAATCCCTTGGTTCAGGTATCACCCGTACTTTACAATGCCAACTTGCGCGAATGGGCAACAGACACAGCCCATGCGCACCTACTGCGTACGGATGGTATCCAGCGCACAAGCAGATGTAACATCCAGCGTTCCCCAACTCAACTTTGCCTGCAAGGCAGCTTTCTGCCAGAGATGTTATGATACGGATGCAGGGTTCAGGGCTTTGCGTGTTAGACTTGCAGAGCCAGATGAGGGTGCACTTCTTTCTTGCGGTGCAGGACCTGGCGGGAAGTGCCCTACAAGAGATTCTTCAGGACAGGGCCGGGAATTCTTTGCAGGGTTTAGGGAATTTATAGGGTTTGGGGTCTGGAGCTGAAACAAATTGTTGAAGGGATTCCAAGTCCTCATGGGCCAGAAGCTGCCAGACATGGGCTTGAGGAGTTTCTGATAGTTCCCGAGTTGTTGAAGAGCTTCAGGTGGAAATGGGCTTCTTCTACTGTAGCTCAAGAGTACAGGCTCAACCCTCGAATCACGTATATTCTTTGCTTGTGAGGAGACTGGCTTGTCGCACCGGAACCAGGCAGTGCGGGATCCTGCGGGCGAGGGTTCAGAACGTGCTCGGGTTTGCAGCTGGACGCGTGCTTGAGGGATCCGGCAAACACCTAGCCCCAAATATTGCAGGAGCAAGGCTTCGGAGGGAAAACCGGGAGAAGGTGTTTGCAGCTCATGGGGTCCGGAACGCAAGTCGCAATTTCTCACGCCGGAGCAGGAGTGTCAGCTGAACATGAAAAATGCCCAAGCTGCGGTCTTACTACCGGTTTCTGACTGCCCTCTCGACCGACAAGCAGACTCGAAAAACTATTCCGGGGGGGGGGGGGGGGGGATGCCACCCTAACTCCCAGACTCAGGGCCCTTCTTTGACATCTTCTTGACAGGTGAGAGTCAACCCTAAATCCTGCACACATCATTTACCCGGGAGGCCTTCTTCCGACGGCGGTCCTCCACGTTTCGCATCTGCACCGATGGGGTAGGGGATTCTGCGCCATGGCTGGAGAATGAGGAAGGGGGGTTGGACTATACGGGCGTTACTTAACAGGCCCCTATACATAGGGCATTTTTTTACACTAGCCCGTACAATATCAGATAATGTGAATGCACCTGCCGCGATCATTACGACGCACATGTTAAATATTATTTTGGCTGGGAGAATGAAGATAGAGAGCAACAGCACTCGGTGAAAGAATGCTCATTTTGGGCCGTGAAGTCACTATATTATGAGGATATGATTGAAAGCTCCCTGTGAACGGGGTCGTTCGCTCATTCATTCGCAGACTTGCGACATAATTTGCACGTGTGTCCACAATTAGGTGCACGCGTTTGCTCGGTTCACAAGGATAAGAAGACACAAAGAGAGCATGCAAGAGCACGATATCTTGCTATTCCTTGAAGGGTTGAATTCTTGGAACCCTAAACCCTAAGACCGCTGCCCAGGAGCTTTCCACCAGCTCCACGGAAGAGGAAACTCTCTGAGCGTCTGCTGGTGACTGCTAAAAGCCCCGAGCCTTCGACGGTGTTCTCCAGATGAGATGTTTGAGATACATAAATACATTCTTATGATGGAGTTTTTTGGTTGTAGTGCTTTACATGATCGTGGTATGGTACAAATACATCATCGTATGATCGTAGCGTTGTAACATGCAGGGCTGCTTTTGGGGCTGTGCATCGCCAAAGAGGAGGGCCGGCCTGAAAGATGCATCCTGCTGTCATGGTCCACTCCACATCGGTATCCTGCTAGCCTAGTGGTTCAGGGTCAGCCCTAAACCCTAAACCCTAAACCCATTTTAGTTCCCTTTCTGCTGAACGCCCGTCGAAGCCTGCAGGTAAGGCATAAGCTCAGGTGGTTCGTGTCGAAGGCTTGGGCGATGCGATGTCTTGCCTTCGGCCGGCACATCCGCTGAGTATGGGGCCATTACCCATACCTAGCCAGAGTTTCAGGGTCTAGCACTTCGGGTTTTCAAAGGGTTCAGGGTTCAGGGTTTAGGGTTGCTAGTCCTTCTATCAAGAGTGCAGGGGGACTGGGGGTCTGGCTGTCACGAGTACAGGGGGCTTACAGGGCGGCCTCGGCTCACAGGGATGCTATCGAGGCGGGCGAAGTCTCTTGCAATGGGGTTCTCTTGGTTGTAGAGTAGGTAACCTTGAACCGTTTGGGAGTACGAGAATCCCCTGATAATCCCGAAGGGTAACCTTTAGTTCCCCAAGGATACTGGACAACTGAGTTGTGAGGGTGGTCGAGCTTTGGATGTGCATTGCCGAGAGCTTGATGAGAGTCCACTGGGACATCTGAGCTCATTCTGGCTCAGGATGGCGACAGATTCCTGGGGAGCCTGCACCCTAAACCCTAGACCCCTAAACCCTAAACCCTAAACCCTAAACCCACCTGCACCCTCAATGGGGGCATTCTTCTCCTTCATTCGACCTCCCTTTCAATTTCGGCTCGGGTCCACTGGCACACGCCCAGGAGTCATGTCGCCATAGCCTGTTGCTACTTATCGCCAAACGCCCCAGATTTCAAAAGCCAGAGCTGGCCTAAACTCGCTGACTTGCTTGTCAAGTTTTCAAAAAGCTCTTGCGAACTGTTACTGCAACCTCGCTAGCAGATACATATATATACATATATATAGATGTGTATATATATATACTGGTAATCTGATATCTATACATGTATATATATATATATACAGAGAGAGAGAGAGAGGGAGAGACCGGTATATAGCAGACAAGAGGGTCCTCGTTATGCGAACCACCCAGCATTCCCGAACCTGAAGCACCCCTGTTGTCCGAAGAGCCCTGGCTTGGTTGAGGCCGTGAGGGTTTAGGGTTTAGGTTTAGGGTTTAGGGTTTAGGGTTTAGGGTTTAGGGTTTAGGGGGGGGTGCTGAGTTGAGGGTCTGAATTTTGTATTGTTAAGGGCTTGGGAATCCGGACAGCATCCTCCGCCCAATACCCCATGGGTAGCTCTAAGTGGGGTTTTCGGTAGGGTGGCTGTTCAAATAACTGGTTTTTGCCGTCTTTAGGGTACTTATAACCTTACGTATGACTACGTACCCATGAACATTCAAGCAGGGTTGTCTGACTTTCTGAGGCTTTTGCTGGGCCCTGCCCCCATCCTGCCACTGCTGCACCGCCTTTGGCAGCGACGCCGGCGAAAAGGAGCCCAAACTGGGGTTTAGGGTTTAGGGGTTTAGGGTTAAAGGGTTTCGGGTTTAAAGGGTTTAGGGTTACCCCCCAAAGCCCATCAAGCCACAAATGGGAGGGGGGGTTTCCGAATTTAGGGGGTGCCTTATGGGGGTCCATATTATAGGGGAATCCTACTGTTTGGGGATCCACATTGGGGGGCCCTATTTTCGCCCATGTTGCGAAGCTTACTCAGAACCTTAAGCCCAGAAGCACACCGTAAAAGCCTGGAATCCCGAGCCACTCGGGACAAGACTTCCACTTTGGATGGTTGCTTGGGTGTGCTGGTGACGGGAGGGCTTCTCCAAAGTTTATTTATTTATTGTTTTTTTTTGTTTTTTTTTTTTTTTTTTGGGGGGGGGGGGGTTTTGCGATAATCAGGAGCTTATGCTCATGCGGCATGTCCCTCTTCGAGCCTCGATGGTTTAGGATAGGTTCTCTTCGAAGAGGAAACCTCCTCTGATCCCCTCCCCCTAATACATTAAAAAAACCAAAAATCAGAACTGTAATGGGGGGTATTTAACATTAAGGGGGTGGGAGGGGAGTCAATATTAGGGGAGGGGAATAACAGAAGTCGCCAGCATATCAATCTTCCACCCTCGCACGCTGCAGGCTGGAAAGACCTGGTGCAGAGCGCACAAACGAAGGATCCAACCTCGCTGACACAAAATGCCTGCCTTTGCGCCTTCGTCGTCTAACCATTGTTGAGGGAATGTTGCGGAGTAATTCCAGAGTCCAGCAAGGCTGACCCGCTCGTGCTATTGATACTTCTAGCATTAGAGGTGTTGCTGACACAGCTTGTGTGGCCCCTAAACCCCAAAACCCTAAACCCTAAACCCTAAACCCATGTGCAGTCCAGCCCAGCTATTCAAAGCATCGGGTGGCACTGTAGACCTGTCATCTGAGGCCAACTGGAGTGGACCATGGAGTTTGAGAACAAAAGCCTTCCGACTGCAATCCTGGCATCTCTAGGAAACACGAGAGAGAGAGAGAGAGAGAGAGAGAGAGAGAGAGGAACTCCACCAAGCACCCCATCTCACACCGACAAACCCGAAGAAGCGTGCCCCTTGGGGCGACCCCTCTCGAGGGGTTCTGCACTCTGCAAGCAAGCAAGCAAGCAAGCAAGCAAGCAAGCAAGCAAGCAAGCAAGCAAGCAAGCAAGCAAGCAAGAGGGAGAGAAGGAGAGAGGAGAGCGAGAGAGATGTGAAAGCCTGCGCATGTGGGGTCGTCGCCGTGGGCCTGGTGCTTCAGAATTTCCGCTTGCAATCTGGGCTTTTGAGGTCTTAGTCTGCGAGGGTTTTTTCGGGATTGGCGAGTCAAGCAGAAGCCTCATGAAGCCTCAAAAGGACACTACGGTACATGTCGGGCCCCAAAGCCAAAGATTGCAGTCACGGCCGCCCAAACCTGAACTTACAGGTTCATAAATACTTATAATCCCAATTATATGTCTACTTAGAACCAACTTAGGGAACTGTGGGGTCTTGTAAATACAGTTCTGACTATTGTTAGATGTGCCCTGAACCACCAAGTATTATATGTCTACTTATAGCCAACTTAGGGAACTTCGTGGGCTTGTAAATACAGTAACCCTATCCCCTAAACCCTAAACCCTAAACCCTAAACCCTAAACCCTAAACCCTAAACCCTAAACCCGCTATAATTGGGGTCTGTGCCCTGAACCTCCAAGTAGACCCCGTGTGCGAGCCCGACCCCTGCCAAGGCTTCACGTCCGGAGCCCAGCTAACGTCTCACTCAGTTTAGGGTTTAGGGTTTAGGGTTTAGGGTTTAGGGTTTAGGGTTTAGGGTTTAGGGTTTAGGGTTTAGGGTTTAGGGTTTAGGGTTTAGGGTTTAGGGTTTAGGGTTTAGGGTTTAGGGTTTAGGGTTTAGGGCGTGGCGTTTGTTTGCAAATGCTCATATGGGCCCATTTAAATGTAAAGAACAAACACCTCAGATCATAGTGTAGTATGGTGGTAGATTCCTTAGTTAGCGGTTTTTCGGCTCCCCGGGTCCAGAAAAAACACACCTCCGCTGGTCCAGAGCTGTGCATTGGGCTAGTTAGGGTGGCCTTCGATGGGTCGAGACATCCCAAGTTTGAGGCTTTACTGCGGAAGTGCTGGGTGAAGCTCCTTGGGTTGCGGTCGGGTTTTGCAAAGACTTGTGTTTGCATTGCTGGCCTGCTTTATTCCCCATCGTTAAAAACAACCCCTATTTCCTGACCCTAAACCCTAAACCCTAAGAGGGTTTGCGCAGCCCTGAAGGCCCTGCACAAAAGCAAAAGCCACGAACGCCCCAAACTGCCCCGCGGGAGGGGCAGGCATTCTTTCAAGAGGCTTGAGGAGGGACCCTGATAAGAGACCTTAGGGTTTCTTTTCGAGTTTCTTAGGGGCTACTTAGGCAGAAAGGGAGCATATAAGGTGTATATATATATAGGGGTTACATTACAGGTGCCTTTTAGGAGCGATATGGCCCTTAAGTTTCAGGATTCAGTGCTTGGGGTTTAGGGTGTTTGGCCAAGTCAGGTGCGGCGCAGACTCTTGGAGCAGTTGGTCAGTTGGTAATATAGGGTTTAGGGTTTAGGGTCTAGGGTTTAGGGTTACTAAAAGTGTTCCCTTATGGTCCTTTGCTATAAGAACCCCCCAAAACCCTGTTCTAATTCTTAAGGCCCCTATATTATGTGAATTCAAGGGCTACGGCTCAAGTGTTTCGGCTTAAAACCTTGCAGGTGAGGTAGGGGGTTTAGAACTTCTCCATGACCGAGCAAGATGAACGAGCAGAAGACGCATTGATGCCTCAATCATTTTCTTTCACTGGGGAGGAGAGTCCTGGCAAGAGGGGGGCACCTGTAGATCCGGACGAAGAGTTAGACCAACTGTTGAGAAAACAGAGAGTACAAGATCTTCAGGAGGTACCAGCTTGGGCAGAGACGCTTATGTCAATGCAGCACAATGTTTCATTGCAACTGGCTGGCTTGGGGAAGGGACTTCATGGATTCGAAAATCGCCTTAATCAGCTTGAGTCAGAGAATATGGGTCAGAGGATGAAAGAGATGGAGGGCCAAGTGCAGGAGCTGGTGCAGGTTGTACGCTCCCTGCGCCAATCTACACCGCAGACCGCTGCACCCTCCGCGGGTGAAGCATTCCGTCAAGAGGATGGGCCCAAGATGTCTGCGCATCCGCCGCCGCTGTCTCGACCAGAGCATTCTCATACCATGAGTCCAAAGAAAGGCAGTGCATCTTCTTCACCAACAAACTCAGCAGAAACAGATTACTGCCACATAGTCGCAGGCGGGTGGCCGGAA